TAAATGGGCTTTAGAAAGGATTTCTTTTTCTTTCTTTCTTTCTTTCTTTCCTTCTTTCTATCTTTTTTCTTTTTTCTTTTTCTTTTTTCTTTCATTCTTTTTCTCCTTCTCCCTTCCTCAAAAAAACATTTAGATGTCTTTATTTATTTCAGTTTGTCTTTCTTTCCTTGCCTGAGGCATTTGAGAATCCATGTGGCTGAGAGGGGCAGTGATACCTGGAGAGCTGGAGAACAGGGGACTTCACAAACGGATGAAATACAAAGAGCGAAGGGACAATATTTCAGTTGAGGCAATAATCATTATTTCTTGTTCTTTGTTTAGCTAATGTTTAGAACTTTTTAAAAAGAGTATCTTTGTAAAAAACATCATCAAATTAATTAAAAAATCAGAACACAAGAAATATGTCTCTACAAAAAACAAAAAAACAACAACAACAAAAAAACCCCCACAAGTTTCAATTTTCTAAGTTTCTCAGATCCATTCTGTCCTTATAAAGAATGTTTAAGAGGTACAAGTTTTATTCTGAAAATAATTGCTGGCAGCCCTAAGAAAAAAAAAATTAATTGGCCTGAATGTTCCCATCTGGAAAACACTACATTTTTCTGCTAAGGTACAAAACTGGCTGTGTTGAGGCTAGTATGCCAGAATTTATTGTATTTGGGTTTGTTGCCCTGATAGGAAGTAAATTTTTGTGTGTTTGTTTTCACTTGTTTTCCATGGGGAAAACCCTGGAGCTTTGTTTTCCCTTTGCCAAGAGGAAGAACCAGAATATCTGTCTCCATTTGCAAACTGGAAACTCCTTTGTTATGTTCCATCCCTTAAGGGAAGAAATAATAATGTTTCCCTGGACTTTCCTAAAGAAAGCAAAACACCTGCTAAAAAAACATAATCTCCTTTAATTTAATAGATGAAAGACAGTCCTTTAACAAGACATCTGAAAATTATATTGTCTATAGATCTTTGTATATAATCCAAGAGAGCTATCTAATCCAATTTCATAATTTCATTGACATGGTCCAATTTTGTAATGAGTTTTACATATACAGAGGGTATATAAATACCTTTCCCTCATGCAAAACCTGTTTGAATGTATCAGGAAGGGAGGCCATCACTGTTTTGATTCCAGTTTTAAACATGAATATTCAAACAGTAAGACCTCAAAAGCATAAAACATAGGATCAACTGAAGCTCTCCAAATTGTATTAGTTTAAGTGTACTACATATAAACTTAGTGCTATCTGTTTAAATAGGCTGGTAAATGACCACAACTCAAGAAGTTTTCTTGCTTGCCACCGTGCACAAAAGCTAAAGCCAGATAGGTCCGCACACAGGCAGCAAAAGGATCACATTAAAAACAAAACACAAAATGGAGAAAAGTACAGTGGTCCAATTGCCAAGGACCATTCTTGGTTTTCTTTGTCACAGAATCAAAGAATCTCCTGAGTTGGAAGGGACCCATGAGGATCATCCACTCCAACTGCTGTCTCTTGAGACAACCTAAGAGTTAAACCAAATACTGAAGATCATTGTCCATATAACTAAGAGCACTGTCCAAATGCTTCTTGAACACGGACAGGCTTGGGACCACGACTACTTCTCTGGGAAGCAGCCTTTCAGTGAAGAACTTTTTCCTAGTATCCAATCTGAACTTCCCATGATGCGACTTAAAGTCATTCCTTCACATCCTGTATGATTCTGTAAAACACCAGACTAACAGTTTTGAATATAATTCACTAATTCTAGCAACACATAGAAATAGCTACAGAAGAAATTGTTGGTGAGAGATGACATTGAATGACATTACTGAGAACAGAAGTTAGGCATGAAGGATCAGAGTCTGAGCTGGCAGACAGCTGGTCAAGAGAGCCAGGGACCATTTTCCATTCTGTCTGTGTAGGAAGAAAAACACCTCCCTGACACAAAATTAATACAGATCTTATAATGGATCATCTCCTAGAGGTGTGAGTGTTATGTTCAAGACATTTTGTTGTAGTCATACAAAAATATATATATATATATATATAAGAAAACAATCACAAACATTCAAAATTACAGCCTTCTCACCAAGATTAAAATTCAAATAAAGGAATATTGCAGGATTCTGGCAATTTCATTAAATGCAATGCATCATCTTAAGGTGCACGAATTTCTCTCATAAGTGGATATGCCTATTTTAAAGTAAATACTTCGATGTCTGCAAGTGTCACACGAAGCAGCACATAAGAAGAAGCAGCCACAAGTAAAGCAGAAAGCAATATTCTATTTTTTTTCTTTTGATATATTTGTTGGTTGGACTAAAACTTTTAATCCCAGAGTCCTGAAGTTGTTGTTGGCTATGGAAAATCAAGCCTAGGATGACAGCTTCTGAACTGGTAACAAAGAAAAGGGGAATATTAACACGCAAAGGGATGAGAAGTCATTTCTTACCACGGAAGAGTCCAGATCGTTTCTGAGAGGTCTGTCAGTGGACTTCACCTTTCCATTGACTTCCACGGAGTATGGAAACAGTCCTCAGCCTGGGAGCTGAAATTACTGTTTGGAAAACCAGGCAATAGGTTTTCTGTGTTTTTACCAGATTAAGAAACACTTCAAAAATATACATTTTCAGTGTCAGGGAAACATAAAATATATGTGGGGAAAAAAAGAGGCTTCTGAGCTACAATTAAAAGGTTCCTCTGCCCATTTCCAATTCAGCAGCATGTTTGTTAGTGACCATTTATTGAGACAAATGTTTGAATGGTTCACACGTCCCATCACGACCACACGGTCAGGCACCGCTCGCACACAGGCCGGCAGAAGGGGTACGCCTGCGTCCGTGCACGTGTCAGCCTTCTGCCGAGACGAGCACACCGTACGGCAGTTCAGAGTAAAGCTGCATTTGCCTTCAACTGGAAATTTCCTCGGCTAACCAATGCGGGCCTCGCGTTCACACAGCCGAGCGCGTCCATCCCCTCACCTCGGCGCTACGCCACGGCCCCGCTCGCGCAGGGCACAGATGCGGGCATCTCGCGCCCCCTGGCCGTCCCCGCAGGCCGGGCCCGGCCCCGCGCACGAAGCGCCGCCGCTCGCCGCCCGCCCGGCCGTAGCGCCGAGGCAGCGGCCGCAGGGGGCGGGTTGCAGCGCGGGGAGGCGCCGCCTTCCCGCCCGCCCGGCACTGCGGGGCTGGAGGCTGAGGAGCCGGAGCGGAGGCGCCGCTCCTCCGGCGGGCGGGAGGAGGTGAGCGGGACCGACGCGGGAGGGGGCCGCGACCCCGCCGGACGCCGCCGCAGGCCGGCCGTTCCCACCGCCGCCCCGCCGGGGCTCCTCTCCGCCCACACCTCTGGCCGGGCTCCCGCGGGCCTGGCGGTGACGGGCTCCCCGGAGCCGGTGCGGGGGCTGAGGGTCGGCCCAGCGGCTGGCGGTGGCGGCCCGCCGCGGCCGGGCCCGCCTGCCGTGCCCCGGGATGCCCGGGTTTGGAGGCGGCCGGGGCGGAGGTTTGGGAGCGAGGGGCTTCGGGGTCGCCGCTCTCGTCGCGGGCGGCGCTGTCGTTACAGCTGGCCGGGCCCCGCCGTGCGCCCCGCGCTGCGATGCGCTCACCTGAGGCGGACGGCCGCCCCGCAGCCGCCGCTCCGCGCCCGAGCTGCCGCAGCGTAAGTGTCCGCCCGGCCGGCGCGGGCCGCTCGCCGCAGCCGTGCCTGGGCTCCGCGTTACGCCGCTGTCCCGAGAGCGGTGCAGAACGCACTTAATCGCATCAACAACTCGTTCGGGTTTTCCGCTTGTTCGGTTTTCTCCTTACGAGATTACGCATTTCAGAGCGGTTCTTCACAGCTGTCCCCTTCTGGCTGGTATAGCTCTGTCGTGTTTTCTTGGGCTTATCTGAGGGCAAACGTCAAATTTATATCGCTCCTGCTGTTCCTTGTATCCACAAAGGCAGTCGTTTTGTAAAAGATGAGTTTTCTTGCATTCCGTTCCTGAACAACCCGGATTAGCTACTTCTTATCAGCTTCCCATCTGTTTACAAGTTGACTGCTCAACAACTTGCTGTAAAATTTTTCCAGAGACTGAAGTTAAGCTAACAAGTTTTTGCTTCCCTCAGTTCTCCTCTTTTCCTCTTCTAAGATATGTACGTGTCCCTTCTGCATTCTGAAGACATTGCTTCTGTCAGCTCTTCAGGCATCAAGGCTGGATTTCACAAGTGCCTGCTGAGTTGAAAATCTTTATCTTATCTTTATCTTTTAAATTACCTCACCTTCTGCCTTCCTGCAAGATTAATTTCAGTCTTACACACTCTTACCTCTGCACTGCTATCGTGCATTTGAGTATAGTCCCTTTCCACGACTTCCAACTCTGGTTTCTATCAGCTCTCAGAGCCCAAGAGTCACACCTGGTCTGTTCCCTAGGATTATTTTCAGAAAAACATAAATTCTGTTAGTTTATTCCATTCCTCACATTCTGTTTTCCTTAGAACAGGTGATGAGAAACTGTGGACAGTGTGCCAAATCCAGCTCAGCAGAGCAATTCTTCATGTCCTAATCCTTGTTCCCCTCTCATGGATTTTTAGACAAAAACTGGAAGTGGGCTGCAGTATGGCTGAATAGTACTCATTGCCCATTTTCTCATGGCAGTTCCATTTCTTTCCTTTAAGTTTCACAGTATATGTTCTGTAAGTGTTGTAGTTGCCTTCACATCATATGGCATGAATTGAAATGGACCTCTGTAATCATACAATGAATGCATACGTATTTTGTCAGAACTAGTTGATGTATATCTCTCAGCTGATCAGAGTACAGCTCTTCTCATTATTTTCCTGGATGTGAACCCAACAGGATACAGGAAATGCTGGTATTTTGGTTATGCACTGGATACAGTTCACTTTGTGCAGCAAGGATATCAGTGGTTTTTCTGTGCGTAAAAATTAATGAACTCTAGCAGAAAGTTTCACTATGAGAATCTTTCTATAGAATATGGATTTTGTGGTCACTTTAACATATTATTTTTCATCTTTAGAGTCTCAGTACAATTTCAGTGAGTTTCTCCACTTAGTCAAAAACTGAGAAGTGCCTTCTAAGGTATGTTCTCCTAATAGCTTCCTCTAGACCTGTGAAGAACAGTTTCTTTTAGTTGCAGGACATCATTGTGTTCCTAGCAGATGGGTAGGTGAAGTCCCTCACTGGTTACTGGCATCTTGTATGGTTGCTCAGAAAGAGCTTCATTCTCCTTTATATGTGGTCTGTTGTTGACAGCTCCCAGGAGAGATGCAACCTGATGTTTTCCCTTTACTCCTTCTTAACGTGCCTTTCCTTATTGCTTTATTAATTCTTGGAGCTTATTCCTATTCTAGAATTCAGAAACCACTTAAGTCAGAACTGTGGTTTCATGTGAAAGCTACCTTCCTGAGGGTTGTTTTGTGGTTTTCTTACATCTTTTTTTTTTTTTTTTTTTTCTTTTTTAGCATTTGTGACAGCTTTACTGCACCTTTTAACCTCTTCTCCAAAATTATAGCAGTCTTCCTTTTAATTTTCTGTGAGCCTTTGCCTCTGTTCCTCTGCAAAGCCTCTCTTACTTCAGTGATAAACTTAAGTCTTAAGACTTTCTAATCTTTTGCTACTGTGTGAAATCTATTTCTCTTTGCCATTAACTTTGCATAGACTACATCTCATTTGCTTTTCTCCAGGCTTTATATTCTCTGTCCAGTCAGAAAATTCAGTTAGGCATATTCCTGACCCGTGTCCTTAAATCCCTTACCCTTGCAACAGTTGTGGTTAAACTGTACATGGCCAGATCTGGTAGCCTGACCTAGCTGTGTCATTAGTGATCTCATGAATAGGCCTTGGCAATTTTCTCTTGTTTTTCTTGCCACTGGATACATGCAGGCAGCTTGTTCCCCAGACTGAATAGTGAGTAAGTCAGACATCATGGTTGTTGTAACATTCTGCAGCCTTCAGAGTTTTGTGTTTGTTCCTGGCCAGAATAGAATACCACAATAAAAACAAGCATAATCTTTTAATCAGGTCCAGCTTTTGTGGACTCATTGTCCTTATGCCAGTTCTCAAGCCGGCTATCTCTGCCTCCTAATATTTTATACAGTTCCCCAATTTTCTTTATATGCTTATTCTCAGTATTTCATTGATCGTTCACTTTGGAAGCACAAGGTAGTTTTGTTGTTCAATAATTTGAGGCAGCTGAAGCTGGAAAAATATTATTTAGATCCATCTTTATCTATGTATTCACAGATCCAGTTTCATTATTACATAAAGAAGTGGAAAAATGGGAAAGCAGTGGCGTCATTACAAATGTTAGTCAACAAGTCAGAGTGCTGTGCTTGGTAGTACAAAAAAATATTTGTCTCCATAAATGTAACTTCGATAAGTTCCTATAGCTGGATGGAAATATACACAATATGTATTATTCTGATGAGAAGGATGTACTTTTTGTTTCCTTATGTCTGTAGCAGCCAGGAATAAAAAGGCTTTGGAAGGTCCATATTCCTAATTAATATATATACTGAATGGGCAAAGGAGAAACAAGCTTTGTTTCTGAATAGGAAGGGAACTGTTAAGATATTTATTTTTGTTTTTTTCACGTGGTTGTATAATGTTCAAAACTCAGTCTGGCTGTAATGTGACGCAGAGCTGGCAGATTGTCTGCTGAATGTTGTGGCAAAGGAGCTCAGAGACATTTAGTATTGAATCCAGTGGTTAGCCTTGGAAAATGTTACTCTCCACTGTCTGAAAGTTCCATTTTTTCCTCCATCTGAAGGTCATAGATGATGCGGTATTATGACTGGACCTCACAACAGTACTTTCTGATTAAAACACGTGCCATGTAAGGTCACTCCGTCCTTAACCTGAAATACATCCTGGGTCAGAAGTGGGCATGTAGATACTTCCCTCTTCAAAGGCTTTCAGTTCAAGTAGTAAAACTGGCCTTAATTAAACTCTTGCTTTTAGATTAGTAAGTCTTATTCTCTTTGTGAATATATACATGCTTTCATATAAAGGTGTTCAAATGTAAGGGTTTCTGTGTGCTGACAGAATTATTGATCTTGGTAGATGACACAATTATTTCACCCTGTTGTCTTTCACATAACCTTTATTGGGTTACCCCCAAAAAGGAGTGGAGATACCTTTTTGAAAGCTGTTGTGAGATGCATCGTGACAGACTAAGAAACATTATAGAATCATAGAATGGCATGAGTTGAAAAGGGCCACAATGATCATCTAGTTTCAACCCCCCTGCTATGTGCAGGGTCGCCAACCACCAGACCAGACTGCCAAGAGCCACATCCAGCCTGGCCTTGAATGCCTCCAGGGATGGGGCATCCACAGCCTCCTTGGGCAACCTGTTCCAGTGTGTCACCACCCTCTGTGTGAAAAACTTCCTCCTAAGATCTAACCTAAACCTCCCCTGTCTCAGTTTAAAACCATCCCCCCTTGTCCTATCACTGTCCACTCATATAAACAGTCATATACCACAAGAATAGCATATGTTATATGCACTTTGGGCTTTTTTAATGTGTAGCTCTCGTTGCAGTCCTTTTTTAAAACTGTACACGAATATCACTGCAGTATTTTTATCCTCTTTCAGAATTGATCTGCACTGTAAGTAATTGACTTCTGTCAAAACTGATCATGTTTGCTGTAATGCAGATGACCAGAATATGTACCTCTCATCACAATACCCTTTCAAAACTAAATGAATTATCTTAGATTTATAGACAGCAGAACTAAGGTACAGTATATCTAAGATCAGGATTCCCACACCAAAGTCCCTCTAAATCAGATTTTTATCTTTGGACAGTGTGTGGTACATGTTGTAATAAATGTGGGTTTTGGAATGGAAGCCAAGAGTTATACGCTGTTTAATAGATTGCACTCTGTAATGAAGAAATCTAACTTGTTGCCCTCGTTTTTGTCTTTGTTCATTAATCTCTGACTTTACTATCTCCATACACATATTTGGAGTTACTAAATCCTCTGCATTATGCATTCTTTAACCTGGAAAAGCAGTTGTGCATCGCTATGACTCACTGATTTTAATTTGAATGATTTAAAAAATGTATGTATTTCCTTACATATACTTTTTTTTATTTGATTTTTACCTACTTCTGTAACTCTGTTATTGAAACATTTGAAGTTTTTGTGTTCTTCCTTGGATTAGTGACACAGTGCAAGAAAAAAGTTTGTTTTTCTGCATACTTCTTGAAAGAAAAGATAGAATCTGAAAGTTAGAACCACAGAATTTATTTCAGAGTTGTTTGTGGATTGTGATGGCTTGTAAAAATGTCTGATGCTGCTTTTTTTCCTTCTCTTGCTTTCTCTGCTTTTTTTTCCAGAAAAAGTCATCATAGGTTTGGTGTCTTAGAATTATGGAATCAATTTCTATGATGGGAAGCCCTAAGAACCTCAATGAAACTTTTCTACCAAATGTGGCCAATGGCATCAAAGATGCCAGTAAGATCACAGTAGGCATCATTGGAAGTGGAGACTTTGCAAAATCATTGACCATTCGGCTGATCAGATGTGGGTACCATGTTGTTGTAGGAAGCAGAAACCCTAAACTTGCTGCAGAGTTCTTTCCCCATGTGGTTGACGTCACTCACCATGAAGATGCAGTAACAAAAACAAACATCATTTTTGTAGCTATTCATAGAGAACACTACACGTCTTTGTGGGACCTCAAGCATTTACTCGTTGGTAAAATTCTGGTTGATGTCAGCAACAATACAAGAGTAGACCAATATCCAGACTCCAATGCAGAGTATTTGGCATCACTTTTTCCAGATTCCCTAGTTGTCAAAGGATTCAATGTCGTTTCAGCTTGGTCACTCCAGTTAGGACCAAAGGATGCCAGCAGACAGGTAAACATTGTGTTTGTATTCATTTGACTTGTTTGTAAAATGAAAAGACAATCATGTACAGAATAAATGATCCAAATTTTGCTCTGGGATGCCTGTGTGTCTCTAAGAATTTCAGAGGAATGTAGGTACTAGCTTAGATCAGCTAACTGACGTTTAACTGACTACAGTAAGAGTAGGATCCTAAAGTTTTCTGTAGAAAATATGTTAATTTATATTCTAGTGTTTCAAAGGATGAAGACAGTCTTTCCCAGTTTATTTTATGTTCCCAGTTTAGTTTAAGTGTTGTTTTTTGTGGGGTGAACTGTTGAAAGAGATGCACAGAAATCTGAGGTCCTGACTCCAAGGCTTGGGAGTCAGCTCTTCTAGAAATGCTTGCATTCAGTGTAACCACAGAGAGAATATAACCCATTATTTGGCTTCTGGAATATCCCAAGATCATAAATATGAGGAAACAGATGGAGGCACATATGTTTCAAAGTAATCATTCATTTGATCCAGAACTGCTTGGGAACATCATGTTCAGCTTACTTCCTGGTGTATCCCCCAAATCCATCCTGCATATAGAAGGTACAGCTGTATGTTTTTCTTGCTTTGCTGAAGCAATATAAAGATGTGCATGAGTCCAGTCCTTCACAGCTTTGTGGGCTACAAGGATTACATGAGAAGTGGTGAGTGTAACGTGACTACTGGAGACTACTGAGTTCTCTGGCACATCAGGCAAATTTTAAGTAGCATGCAATAAATACTGAATTAGCATAATTTTAAACATAATCTCATTGCACTATTTTTGTTCCCATTTGGAGCAGCATGCCACTATAAATCATTGACTTCTGTCAAACCTCATCATGTTTTCTGTAATACACATGATTGGAAACATTCTTACATAGAGATTACACAGTTCTCTGCTTTGCATTGTGTTTGTGCTACAGCTGTTTTGGATACAATTTAAGATAATTGTACATTTGAGAGACTCAAGGTTTGGAAATGATTTTAGCCATTGTTTCATTCCTATAGGCATTTCAGTATGGAGAGTATGAGACATTTCACTCTGTGGAGTACCTGTACGTGCCACAATCACTTCACTGTCAACTTCAAGAAAATGCCAATTTTATTTTGGTTGCTCTGTGGCTAAATAAGCATGCATATTTTTACCTTTGCTGATTTTGTGTATAGTATTGCTTTTATTCAGTATTTCTTATAATGGCGATGAATCTGTCAAGGTGATGCACAGTTAGCAGTAGTGCTGCAGTTTTGCCCTGGAGGCTCTTCAGTTGGGGCAAGGGATGAGGGGGTGGTTGTTGTTCAATAGTTTGTTTTGGGTTTGAGTTTTTGTTTCTGTTTTGTTGAGTTAGTTTGTTTTTAACCTGTAAGGCTTTCTGTGTCTACAATTCACCTGACTTTTCCAACAGGTCTATATATGCAGTAACAATGTTCAGGCTCGCCATCAAGTTACTGAGCTTGCTCGTCAGCTCGGTTTTATTCCTATTGATTTGGGGGCATTGTCATCTTCAAGAGAGATTGAAAACTTACCTCTGCGACTCTTCACACTGTGGAAGGGGCCTGTAGTGATTGCCATTAGTCTGGCAACATTTTTCTTCATCTATTCTTTCATCAGAGACGTAATCCATCCATACGTGAGAAATCAACAGAGTGACTTTTACAAGATCCCAATTGAGATTGTCAATAAGACTCTACCAGTTGTTGCCATCACATTACTCTCTCTAGTGTATTTGTCAGGACTTATTGCAGCTGCTTATCAGCTTTACTATGGCACTAAGTACAGGCGATTTCCACCTTGGCTGGACAACTGGCTGCAGTGTCGAAAGCAGCTTGGACTGCTCAGTTTTTTCTTTGCAGTGGTGCATGTGGCATACAGCCTTTGCTTACCTATGAGGAGATCAGAGCGATACTTGTTCCTCAATATGGCGTATCAGCAGGTAAGCTGATCATTAGCTAAGTAAGCCAAAAGTACTTTGGTTGTATATGTGATACATTAATACAAAATGCATGTTTTTCTGCATCTTTTCCATTGTTTTCAGTAAAAAATCATTAGGATTATTTTATGCATAGGTAATGCTTAGTAAGAAGGAAGAGTAAAAGAAACACCTGTGTACCTTATGTCGTGTAATAGGTTGAATTGAGGATATTTTCTACTAAAATCTTTGGCAGCGATATGTACAATGAGGATGTAGGTTAGACAGGATAAGAGCAACTCCAAAGGAAACTTCTGCGGTAAGTTTCTCTTTGTGTGTTTTTGAGATGCAGATGTATGTATATGGTAAGTGCATTTACAAATGTGGAAAAGTACTTAGAGTAGATACTATTATGATAATATTCAGAAATACATTTATATTTTTGCAATGAAAGTTCTGATACTTTGTAACTTTTTGGACCAGTGGTAAAAATATTATGGTCGTTAGAAATTCTGTGACTGTCATCTATTACAGGCAAGAGGTTGACTCACAGTTCCCAGGAGCAATAACTGGTCTTGCATAACTTTGAAACAGTCTCTGACAAACCTATAATTCTTTAGAAGAACTGCTGCTTTGTCTGTCAGCTTATTGCCACTTTTAAAGTGGCAGAAGAGCAGCATTGCCACTCAGCATATAAAATCTTCAGGAAAGACAGATGAAATTGAACAGAAAGAAAAATTAAAGAAATCAAATCCTAGTAACAGAACAAAAGCAGATTGGGTTCACAGATTCTAAAAGAAGTGAGAAATTGAACTTTAGAGAAAGGCAGAAAGAATAAAACTACGAAAAACGGCAAGGAATTGTAATTGCTCATATGTAGTAAAGGATTTACTGATATTTTTACTAACAGTTTGACTCATTCCTAATAGTTCTGTAAAAATCCCACTTGCTAATGTTCTTAATGGACCTCAAATCAATCACTATAGAAAAATCAAATCACTATAGTTATCTTAAAATTGAAAAAATAATTGAATATCTAGGCATCTTAACTTTTAAGGACCTGAGCTGTTTCTTTTTTTCTTGTAAAGCTCTCCAACTAGAACATTTTCAAATGTATTTAATATCAACAGTTAAAGTGGCAAAACAGTTTGGTTTTTGTATAAGGAGCTAAAGCACTAAGAGAAAATTATGCTAAATTGTTTCCAAGTGTGAAGAATTGAAACACTGTGGATTCATCCAGTTTATGCTATAGAAGATATGTTTCCAAGGTCTGAAGAGTATGATTACTTTTCTGCAGTATAGAGTATGCTTACACACTATAGAGAAACGTAGAACTGCTTGTATTTATAAGATAATTGTTGTAATGTTATGTTTTCTTTTACCAACTCATCTAGTTTTCCTGCGTAACATATTTTTAGTCTTTCAAGAGCCAATACCAACAGTAAGGAAATTGTTGTTTTTTTCTCCAGGACATAAGGAAACCTCTGAAATATTTGACCCCATTTTATAATTGTTCTGTTACTGTAGACATTTACTCAGCAAAATGATTTCTGTTGATGCTTTTAATATTCTGGAGAATGAAGTGCTTCCTTTCTGCTCCTTCATCAGGTTCATGCAAATGTTGAAAATTCTTGGAATGAAGAAGAAGTGTGGCGAATTGAAATGTATATCTCCTTTGGAATAATGAGTCTTGGGTTGCTTTCTTTGCTGGCAGTAACTTCTATCCCTTCAGTCAACAATGCTTTGAACTGGAGGGAGTTCAGTTTTATTCAGGTGTGTTACTCTCAAAATAATAGATTTTTGTTGTTAACATGAATTTCTTTCTAATGATAATTATTACTATTATGAAAAGCACTTCACAACATGATCAGAGTATGTTGTTTTTTCTATCTCGTAAGTTAATAAGAGCAACATATCCTTACTCAGCAAATAGATAAGCATGTAGGCTAATTCAGCATTTTATTGGTATCAGAATTGGAAGTTGCCTTTTATTCATGTTGGCATTGAAGGATCAACACAGATAAAACCAAATGAGCATAAATCTATAAATTTCTTTCCCATTGTTAGAATTTATTTCTAAGTTCTAATTAGATAAAGTTGCACAGACTGACTAAAAGCAGTCATAATGATGGGATGAGATGATGAACGTAGATGAACGCAACTGTAAAACTGAAGTCTTCTCTTGAAAAATTATTGTTATATAGCGCTCTGACAGCCACGGTGTTATTAATTCGGTTTTTTTCCTTTACGCTGTGTGGGAATTAATACTCTCAGCTGCATTATTCTCATTAGGTAAAAATTCTCTTAGGAAAATATGCTGTTTTGTTTATTAAAAACAGTAGCTTTTCCAGGTCCTGACATCACTTCTCCTGCCTGTATCCCTAAGTTTATTTTTTATCAGTTTGGAGTTTTGATTTGTTTTATGATTTAGGGTTCAGTACTGTAATCTTAACTCTGTCTTATCTGATTAAGAGTTTTTGGACGTACCCGCTTGTATGGGAACTGCTGAACCACGGCTTGAACCTCTGAATGACCACCTGAGGCAAGCAATGAGTCAGCCCTAGGAGCACAGGTGAAGGCAATTCTTCTGTGCTACCAGAAGGGGTGGAGCCTGGCTCCACCTCTCCTAGACCCCATTTAAGAGCTGACTACCAGTAGGGAAGGATCTCTCTTGGAGATCACTCCTCTTGGAGTCTTCTCACCAAGCCTTGAAAAGGGGTAAGCTTTCCATCTGTTGCTCCTTTGTGTGATGACTTGTTTAGCCTAACTTTCTTATATCCATATATTCATTGTTTGTATGCCACTGCAGTGAAGTTGTTGACTAATTCCTACCTATGCTTGCATCTGCTTTACTGTTCAGGTATTGAGTTGCATTTTGTAATTTACAGGTATCTTAAAAGGAGTGCTGAGGAATGCGAATGCTCTTTTGCTGTAGTTGTAAGAGAACTTCTGTATATAGCAAAGTACAAAAATCTTGCTTAAAGATTTGTCCAGGTATCGTTCCCCAGACAGAACTGTTCATTCTCACCATTTTGAGCTTCACAGGAAGTAAATACTTATTTTGTACTGTTGAAATATTCCTGCCATCCAGAGTTCTTAGTGTGCAGGTAACAGTACTGCATATTCAGTTACGAGGTCATGGCTTTCAGCCACAGACCCAGAACTTGTATCTAATTTTTTCTTACACAGATCTCAGGCTTGTGTGATTTAGTCAAAATCTAGACAACAAATACACAATTACATGCCTACAAAGGCGTTTTTGTTTGTATTGTATTTTCTGTAGTTACTTGCACTGTAATTAAAGGCAAAATAATGCAAATTTTAATTATGAACTTTAGCAAATTATCTCTCAGTGTTTTGACAAATTGGGAACAAGTTGTTCTTTCTGGAGGGTTGTTATAGTTGGTTCTGTATTGCATGCTAAAGAGAACTAGTATAGATAATTATTTATGATCATTTGCACATAGGAAATTGAAATACTAAAATTTCCTTAAAGTTCATTACTGTTATGTGGTACTTCAATTTTTCAGTAATCTCAGAACATAAACTAGTCTTCAGGTAGTTACTATTCCTTTGAAAAAGTTACTTGCTTTATTCAATCAGAAGAGAGGCTTTCAGTGATCCCCCACTGAAGTAAAAGGAGTTTGCAAGTTTGTATTTCTAAGTTAGCACAATGAGCATCAAAACTACAGACTATCATCTCAGCATTGCTTTTCTTTTAGCTGGGGGATTCAGTATGTCTTTACTTTTAGTCCTGATTCCTGAGATAATCTGCAAAATAATTGCTCAATCTCTGTTTCGTATCTTACAGATAAAGAGTCAGGCAGTCAGCACATCCAGTCAGTTTCTCACCTCAGCACTTCTCAAAGAACAAGAGTATTGCTTACTCATCTCAGTAGGTACAGTTTAATCAAAATAAGAGCATGACCTCCTTTAGGGAGTATTACAACTAAAATTCACTCAGTCCTAATGTCTACTGGCAAAATCTGAGTTTAGACTTAGAAAGTTATTTACATATACAAGCACAGTTAGTTTTCTAACCCTGCTGTAGTAGAACAAGCTCCAAATAGCATCATCCTTATGTACAGTGGTGCAGACCTCTATTGCAGCATTTCTAATACCATGGAGAATCCCCAGTAGTGAGTGTTGTTGCCCAGAAATCATGGTTATCTTTGATATCCCAAATTATTTTAGAGATGCTTCCATCTTACCTCACCTGACTTCACAACACAAGTGACAGCAGCTTCAAAAATTCCAGCCTTAGGAACCCAAGCAATTCCCAGCAACTATCCTAGAGCCTGGGAAGAGTACTCACCACTGTGATTCCAGTCAAGAAAAAGTATCTCTTTCTGCTGCTTTTAAATGTCTTCTACTCTTAAAGATTTAGCATCCTGTGTCTCCCAGCCAAGAGCAACCTCTTATATAGAGCTTTACTCAGTTTGCAAAGGCAGCTGTTTTTGCCTGTTGTATGAGAACTGTTGAGTCGTGGCCTGAACCACTGATTGATCACCTGGGGAAAGCACTGAGTCAGCCATGGGAGCACAGGTGAAGGCAATTCAGAAGGGGTGGAACCTGGCTGCATCTTTCCTAGACCCTATTTAAGGGCTGACTGCCACTGGGGGAGGCTCTTTTTCTGGAGACTGCTCTCTTTGGAGTTTGTCCCTGCAAGCCTAGGACATGAGCGAGCATTTCATTTTTTATTGTCTCTTTCCACCACAATATAGATCTGTAAAATACCATCCTAACCATACCACTCTTCTAACTGTACATTTCTTAATTGTACACCTGTACATCTGGAGAAGTTATCGTTAGTAACTGCAAAGTAGGATAAGTGCTCTTGATGGAACTTTGTATATGACAGGTCTGCCATAGCTAAAGAAAAAAGCCTGTAAAATGCTAGGTTATACAAGGAACATCTTTCTAGTTAAGTGCAGAAATACAGTGACAGAGCCAATTAAGAGCCTAATTGAAGAAAACACTGTCAATAGCTGACAAACCCCTCTAGAGTTGTCTTTGGAATCAGATTATTAGATGAGTGATTCTAATGGACCAATATTTACTACTAGTGTATGCCCTAGCAACACCAAAGAAGCATATAGCAGCTTTCCACAGGTCAAAAAAAAAAATCTGAATAAAGATGCATTACACTTTGCTTGTACTGTTTTTAACATTCATACCAGTATTTACTAGCTTCTCTTTTGACCATTAGATACAGATACATACATATTGGCAATTTAAAATAACATGGTAATGATCTGCAGTATTTTCCTTTCTATAGGAGTTAATCCTTATAAATGTTATTAATTAGTTCAGACCTTCTTCTGTCTCTAGAAACAGGTTAATCTTGAAGCAGAAAGCTTTCTGCTATAGGGAAGGTGGAGAGGGACTTTCTATGAGGACATGCAGTAACAGGGTGAGGGGGAATGGTTTTAAACTGGAAGAGGGTAGATGTAGAGTAGATATTCAAAAGCAATTATTTAATGTGAGGGTGGTGAGACACTGGAACAGGTTGCCCAGGGAGGTTGTGAGTAGTACCCCTGCCCTCGAAGCATTCAAGGCTGGGCTAGATGGGACCTTAAGCAGCCTGATCTAGAGGGAGGTGTCCATGCCTGTAGCAGGGAGTTGGGACTGAACGATCAACTTAAGATCCTTTCCAACCCAAGCCATTCCAAGTTTCTATGATTCAGTGGTTCTTTCACTATTACAGACCCTTAGGCTACCTTTTTCTTAGGACAGAAGGATTGTCTTTGCCTCTCTCTTTACTGAAGTTAAAACAAAGCCCATTATCCAGTTAATACACATTCTTTGTTTTAGCGACTCTCTACAAATGTTTCTCAACCAAATTAGTCGTTAGAACAGTTCAGAAGAAAAAAGTTTTTCACCAGTTGTCTGCCCCCAGAAGTCAAAGTGTAGTAATCATTTAGCAATGTTTTGGGAAAGACAAACTTAATATCTTTAACTCAAGTCTGCAGAGCAGTACTAATGCCTGTCACTTAAACGGACATCAAATCAGAAAATAATATTCAATATCTCAAGTTGAAGGGACCTAGTAGGATTGAGTCCAACTGTGGGTATGGTACCTTCTGCAGCTTGCCACAGATTACATGATAAAGTCCTTTACAGGGTATTGTGAGAACCTTCTTATTAGCATTGAATCCACCACTGCTTGTTTATGAACTGTGTTGTTAGTTTGTGCTGCTCTACACAAATCCTGTAATCCCAATATTACTTCTCATTAACCAGTGGATGAAGGAGGGTAAGGAATGGTTTATGCTAACTTCAAACAAGGGCATGTAGGTGGTTGCAATGAAGGTCATCATTAGGAAGAAGCAAACTACACCTCTTGAAGCAATAAAAATTTCAATTGATAAACTCAGATCTGTTCCATAATAAGTATGACTCTTGATACAATCTACGTTTATAGCTGAGAAAACAGTTCAGAAATTAATTGTAAAGCCAACTGATGTTGTTCCAGTAACTTTGCTGGGATTGTTACTTAAGTTCATGTCTTGTAGTTTGCTTACATTACTTACAGCTTGTAGAAACATTTTCATTTTGGTTTTGGCTATAGCCTGTAGATACTAGTGCTTTAAATCAGTGTTTAGTTCTGTCTGCAGTTTTCAGAATGTGAACTTAAAATCACAAAATGATATTTCAAGTAATATGTAGGTATGACATTTTAATGCAGTGTCTGAAAGAAATATTAAAACAATGGGTTAGACTTAATCTGATGAAGAACCAAGTACTATTTTCTCATCTTTTTTCCCTGATTCTCTTTTTTTTAAAGTCTACACTTGGATACGTTGCTCTGCTCATAAGTACTTTCCATGTACTGATTTATGGATGGAAAAGAGCTTTTGAAGAAGAATATTACAGGTTTTACACACCGCCAAATTTTGTTCTTGCCCTTGTTCTGCCTTCCATTGTAATTCTAGGTAAGATCATTTTACTTCTGCCATGCATAAATAGGAAACTAAGGAGAATTAGAAGAGGATGGGAGAAAAGCCATGCAATAGAAGAAACAAGTGGGTCCATTCCACACTTCTCTCCAGAAAGAATAACTGTGATGTGATGGAAGACTACAATTTGTTAGTACTATTGCAGATGTTTGGATTTTTCTCTGTTGTGTTTTTTGTCAAAAATTTGCATTTTCAGGAGTTTATGTGATGTATGTGTAAAGTCAGTGTAGACTTCCTTGGCATACTTACAAGCCCTCAATGGGTTTATGAGAAATTTATAATTAGGGAATTACTGTTTTGGATAACTATAAAAATACTTTGTTTTGAATTACAGAGGGCAGATAATCATGAAATCAGACTTTTTAATGCTCCTTTGCTCAGTTGTATCACAACAGTATTTTGTTATAACAATGCTTTTGAGATATTTGACTCAGTGAGTGTGTCAGAGAGCTATGTCTTAATATCGTATTTTACCACATCTGTCATTTAAACCACACTTCTGGGTTACTGAGTTCAGAGTACTGACTAATAGAGTTAATAATTTAGGAAGCATTCAGATTTTGAAGCAACTGAAATAAAAAAACTGAAATGTGTCGCACATGTACAGAGTATTTATTTTTGTGGTTTTCAAATATTCCATGATTTAAATATGCAAAACCAATTTCAGATGTGGCCTAATTATGCATCTTGTAAGCAGACAGTATTGTATCTTATGGGACTTCTTTAAAAAGAATCACATGGAGTTTTAGACCTTAGCATCTCTTTATTTCTGTATGTCATATAATGAGTAATCAAAGGATTATTATGCATGAGTAGGAAGACTTGCAGATACATATGCAAGCAACTACTTTTTAATGGAATAATTATTTTAAAATACCAGAAAATATTTTGAAAGAAAAATACTGATAAATCTGCAACAATAAAAATCCACTTTCACTGTGAAACTTTCAATGTGTTGCTACAACAGGGAAGCATCAAATTACTCACGTTCTGTATGTTTTTACACTGGAGTTTCAGTTAAATATGAATGTCCCACAATCTATCTTACAGTCTTAGTATCATTTTGTGTAAATACAATCTTCTATTTTTATATATAGTCTTACTTTTACAACAGATATTTGTGGGATATACCTGAATTTTTGAGAAACAAAACAATTATTCTCAAGTTAAAAATGAAATTTTACCTGTAAGACTTGACATCTGTGTCTTCTGTGGGATTCAGAAGAGCATTCAAAATGATTTGTTACTATTACTTTGTCAGGTTTTACTCTAACAAAATAGCTAAACCCAATTTATGTACCTTTAGCCTACTCTTAATTAGCAAAACCTTTATTTTAATGAATGAGAATTGGTCAAAATTTTCCTTGGATATATGAAATTATATTTTTCTTAACTATTTTTGCACTGGATCTCTAAGTTTCTTAGCAGAGTCTTCACTTACTATTTCTTTGCAAGCATTTGTCATCAGTATGATACCTGTCAGAAATAGGTTGAATTTATCCTTAAATATCATCAGTCCTTTGAATCTCAGTACTTCTACAATGAAACCAACAGCTCCATGGAAATAGAATCTAGAATCAAATTCTACTCCCAGTTATACTAGCCTAAATCTAAAGAGTTTGTTAGTTGTTCTTAATTTCATTTCAAACTCAAAAATGTGCTACAATTTTATTTTGATTGTAGTACCTGTATTCTCCAAACATCAAGTCTCTGTATGTTCAGGGTTTGTTGCAAATCAAGAGAAAGCTGGATCATTTTAATTCCAAGAGTGTTCACCAAGGTAATAATGTTACTGTTCCATTTCCAGTATGCAGCTATTTTAGTGACAAATGTGATACATGAGCCCAATACTGTTTTATCAAACTAGATATTAAGCAAAAAAAAACTGTTATTATATATAGACAGGAGCCTAAGCTAATAAGAATCCAATTTTCTCATAAAAATGGAGAACAAATGTCATTTACAACTGCTAACTTACTTTGCCTGTGTGTATATGCATTTCAGTTACAGAAAGCTGTATATTTTTGGAAGGCTTGCAGGGTAACCTGTAACTGAATTTCCTAGCCAATGTTTTTTATTCTGTTATTACAGACAAACTGAAGAAAGCTTAGGCAGTTTTGCTCCATTGCTTTGAATAAATTTAATTACAGAATTAGCACAAAAAGTTCAACTGATACAACTATTCTCTTGGTTCTGATTATTCACATACACAGGTGTTTGCAGGAATATTTGCTTTTGAGTTGTCTGAAAGGCAGTTAATCTTCACAAACCCATGGCATTGTTTGTGTAAAGCTATTTCAATTCTTTGTTATTAATTTCATGCTAGAAGAAACAGCATATATGATTGATATTAAAATTCTGAGACTTTTCATATTTTAATGAGATAAATACCATGCTATGTTCTGTCCCAATTCTGTGCATGAAACCTAATTAAAGTCACTAGAATTGGACAGTATAACTGAAAGTAGAATTTCCTACCTTTGAACAAACTTAGGGTAGAAACCATTATTGTTGACAATTTCCAAATTAAATATGCTGCTGTTATTTTTATAGTAATTATACACTTCTGCAGGATATATAATTGTGATTCATATCTAATTCTTGTGTGATACAGTAGTGATAATGATGCTGAACTAAGATACTGTACTAATTGAACATTACATCAAAGTCAATATATGTTGTAATATATTATGCAGCCAATCACAGTGTATACAGAAATGTATTTGCCCTCTATCCTATGCGGAGTTATTTCATCATTAGACTTCTTCAGGAATGCTAAAACTGTTAAATTTTGCACTGACAGAAGTGTCTGGAGGGAATAGTAATGTGTTGTTCCTTTCTTCAAACTGTGTGTTGAAAATCAAAAATGTGGTTTAATTCTACTTGAAAGGTTGAAAAACTGAAGTATTAATAAATAGATGATATTTTTAGATAAAATACATGAAGACATTTTGTTAAGTATTTGTGCTATAATAAAATATGGCTTCCAGTTAGGCCATGTATTTATTTCTAACTGGAATAAGATGATGACTTGTTATTTACACTTGTGTAGTGTTCTTTATTGTAAGGACTAATTAATAAGACACTAAGTCTGAAAATAAAATGACACTCATGCATTTATTACACATGCATATGTTCAGTCACATCAGGAAACTATTCATATGATTAATTACATTGGTTTCTGTGGGAGGACTTGAATAAGAAGTTACTGGAAAGACACCCAGTGCTAAAAGTTCAGTTTCAGTTGCCTAAATGTACTCAAAATCATTTAGACTCTTCAGTTATTTAAGAGAATATACATGTATTTTGAGGAATAGGCTGCTATAAAAATATTTTCTCTGTAACATTATATAAATCATTTACTGCTGGTAGGAATACCCTGCCAAATGTGAAAATAACCTTCATTCTCTTAATTACAGTTAAATAAAAACAATCTATTGCTTAATATATGATGCAGAGCTTTAAGTATTATGCTAGAAAATAGAAACCTCTATGTATTTAGCAACAGGATGTTTGTTTTCTATGGATGTTAAGGTATTTCTTAATGTTGTTTAAAATGCAGTTCTATTCCAGATCCCATATTTGTCTTTAATTTTATAATACAACTCCATTTACTGTGGCAACTATGTACAAGCTAATTAAGTCCTCATGTTCTTGAATTATTTAGAGATTAATTATTTTGAAATTCAGTTTTGCAAGTTGTTAGCGTATGTAGCTTGCATATTGTTGTTGTGAATTGGTGCCACTTTTAACATTTTGTTCCAGCATTGTGCATAACGTGATGTGCCAACATGAGAAAGTACATTTGTATTTTTATTTGTCATTAATTGGCTATAAAGTATTGTGTGTCTATATACAATTAGCTATACATGCTGCCCAACTAGCACTAAGGGAGATTACTAACTAATATAAGGCAAAATTCCCAAGTGAATATAGATTTCACAGGTATGACTATAGTTAGGGAACAGTTTTCCTCTGAATATTATAAAATCAAAGTTAGATATATCAGCTGCATAAAGATTAGATTGAGATTTAAGTGTGATATTTTCAGCTGTAGCAAAGAATTTATGCAGTGGTAATAGATGCATAGTTCCTCTCAGTACGTTTCTTAATGCATAAGTTTTGGGTTTCTTGGATGTTCATTCTGTAGTGTTTTCTACAAATAAGTAAGATTGCAGTACTGATATTGTATCATTGTATGGTACTGCTTGAATTAATTAGATTGCCGCCTGTATAACAAGTGACACACAGAACTGACCTGAATGGTTATCTTTATTACATATTGTTTTTCATGCTTCACTGGCAGTGTCTTACAGCGAACACAATTTGTCTCCCATATGCAATATTTTCCTGGTATTCTCTTTGTAGTTGTTTGTCAGGTTTTTTGTGCTGTCTCTCTGAACAGGGCTATTATAAAATGCTAGTAAAATGCTTTTACCTACTTTTCCATAGACTCTGATTTACACAAAAATCAATAAAAAGTTAATGTCAAGTATTTGGCTTTCTCTTCTGTGCTTATGCATAATAAAACTGTTTGCTTTCCTTTATAATACATGTGTACTCTGATGAACAGGTTTTCTAAGAAGTAGAACTTGAATGGAAATTCGTAGTAAAGTTGTAAAGAGCAATTTGTTTCTTTCACAACACATTTACAGAACCATTTCCCTTATCTGATTGATTGTAATGTACTCTTCACCTTTTCGGGGCACAAAAAGACACTACAGTACTATCAATATTTATTCAATCAACTTGTTCAGAAAAACGTGTCAAAATTGAGACTGCTGGGCACAAGAAATTTGGCAGGGGGAGACATTCTTCATGTTTGGTTGTGGACATGAGAAAGCAATATTGCTTAAATGAGAAAAACAGGTGAACAATTTTGCAGTTCTTCACTTTCAAAGTGTACACTTTTTCCCCTAGGAGGCTTATGCCAATATAAGAGGAAAGAGGAAGATAATACATATGAGGTGAAACCCTGCTTAAGTAGAGGTCAGCAGCATAAACAGTTCTGAATTCAGAGAAATCAAGATGCATAAGTCAGTGAAGCCATCACAGTTCACATTATTTTCATATTAAGTTGCATAGCTTTCCTTTACTCTCAAAGCCATTCCCTCGAAGCAACAGAATATAGATATGTTTAAAAATCAAAATATTTTATATCTGTGTCCTGCCTGTCATAAAAATAACTTTTTGGTCCTAGAGATCTGTCATTTCTGAGCTGCTTTAAGACTTTGCTGTGTTTCTGTTCATTACAGTACTTGTTTTTTGAGTGCTGATACTACATTAGCAGCTGGGAACCCTGAATTATACCTGTGTCCAAGTAAAACTGGAAAAATGTAAGTTCTGTCTTGTGCCTGACTTCATTTCCTGTTAATAACAGATCAAATGGAGGGCCTCATCAAATCCACAGTGCATAATGACCTAAACAAAGCATTGTGATAAATAGGCAGGTAAACTCATACTTCAAATTTTGTTGACTTTACTGACAACCATTTTGCTTGTTTTGTTGGTTTGCTTGTTTTGTTGTTTTTTTTTCTTCTGTGAATGTTAAACACAGGAAGTTTGGCAGTACAATACTGCACTTCCTCGTTGCCCTTCTTTTTCCCCATCCTACTGATCAAAACAAGAAACAAGATTGAAAAAGAAGACAAGAACTCAACCGTTTCTTAGTCTCATTTCTGTACTGTAAGGAGCTTGGTGTTATATTTGATACACAGCACAGATAGCTTTGAAAAAGCCTACAGGTTCTGTACAGCCAAGAAAAGGACATCACTTGGCTATGGCAGAAGACCCTCTGATGCAGCAAGAGGAAAGGTGCATCCTTTGCAGAACATATTATTTCAAAATCTTAGAGCTTAATTTGTAAAAAAGCAAATAGAGATTGTGAGTGAAAATAATTCACTCAGTCAGTGGGAGGTTGATGGCAGACCGAGGTACAAAACTTTAATCTTCTAGTGCACAGCTATCCCACACATAAAACCACGTGTATTCAAATGTGATTGAAGTCTACCTCAACAAACAAAATTGCCGAAATTTCCCAACAAAATAATGTCTTCAATTAAATATAAATGTTTGTTTTTAAAGTATATTTTTTTCTAGCATTTGTAAGGTTTAGTTGTTAACAATTGGGAATTAATATTCTCGGGAGTAAGGTGCTAAGATCTTCATGTCTCAAATATTATTTGTTCCCAAGAGAAACAGTAGATGTGATGAATAACAATGGAAGCTTGTTGTTTGAGGTGGAAAACTGTTAAGTAAATATTTTCACAGTTGACTGCAGGCTTTTTAGAATGGACGTTTGCCAGTTTGTAGAGGGCAGCAGAATCCCTGTAAGTCAAACTTGCATAGTGTAGCTTCTATCGAAGTTCTTCATTCACGTGGAAGATTCACAGTGAGCAAATTTGCAGTATGTGAGAACATTTGCAGCATGATCTTTGGAACGCTCAGCCAATAAATGGCACATGACCAAAGCTTATAATTTACAGACTACGTTGCTCAATTTAGTCACATTCTCATTATGCTTGTCATTCAAAGCAACAGAGCTTAAAATCATTTAAGCCACAATAAATGTAAATTTTAGCTTTTTTTTTTTTTTTTCATGAGCCTTAAAATTGGTTATGTACACCTGCAGTAAGTATAGGGGCATGATGCAAAAAAAAAATGTATAATTGCAGATCTGTAGGCATTAACATTATGATTAATTTCAAATAGTAAATAAATCTTGTTTCATCCCTTGTTGGCCTAGATACTAAGACCTCAGCTGAGAATCATTCAAAATAGCAAGTTTTTAAGTAAAACTGGGAGGGGCTAGTAAAATGGATAAAAGGAGGTGTGTAAACAGATGGAGGAAAAGCGTCAACCAGTAGCTCCAGGACTGGTTGCTGTGTTGTCATTTTAGGAGAATGCACTGCTGTGTCCTACAGAGCCTGTCACCATGTATCACCTGTGTTGCTATGGATGCAGCTTGTGAGATTTGGGATGTCAAAGTGGCCACTGCGTTTTCCAAATTTAATTATAATTCTATGCTATGTTGTGTTTTTGCTGTCATTTTGAAGTTGTTTCCTGTTACCACTGCCCTGGGCAGCCCGTTCTGTGCCCACCACCCTCTGGTGCAGACCCTTTCCCTGACCGCCAGCTGCCCCTCCCCTGACACAGCTCCATACCATTCCCTCGAGCCCTGTTGCTCAGCGCTGCCCCTCCGCCTCCTGTAGGAGCTGCAGCTGCCATGCTGCCTCTCAGCTATCTGCTCTGGGCTGAGCAAACTCAGGGACCTCAGCTGCACCTGTTGTATTTTGCCCTCTAGAACTTTCAGCATCTCTGTAGCCCATCTTTGGAACAGTTGCATGTCCGTCTTGTATTGTAGCAGGCAAATCGCACCCAGTGCTGGAGGTGAGACCGAGCAGTGCAGTGGGACCACCCCTCCCCTCGCCCAGTTGCAGCGCTGGGCCTGCTGCACCCCATGGTACGGCTGGACCTTCTGGCTGCCAGGGCACACTGCTGCCTCATGTTTTCCCCCAGATCCCTTTCTGTGGGGCTGCTCTCCACCCTCTTGTCCCTCAGTCTATGTATACACTCAGAGTTGCCCCATCCCAGCAGCACAATTGGGTACTTGCTCTTGTTAGACTTTGTGCAGTTGGTGATTGTGCAGCTCTCCAGTTTGCCAGTATCTCTTTGCAAGACCTCTCCTACCCTCAAAGGAGTCAACAACACCTCCATTTCCACAGAACCATTGAATCACAGAACCGCAGGGATTGAAAGGGACCTCTAGAAATAATCAAATCCAACCCCCTGCTGAAGCAGGTGCCCTACATTAGGTCACACAGGTAGGCATCCAGGTGGGTCTTGAATATCTCCAGAGACTCCACAACTTCTCTGGGCAACCTGCTCCAGTGCTCTGTCACTCTGGCCATAAAGTTTTTCCTTGTGTTTGTGTGGAACTTCCTGTGTTGCAGTTTTTACCCGTTGCCCCATGTTCTGTTGCTGAACACCACTGCAAAGAGCTTAGCTTCATCTACTTGACTCCCACACTTCAAACATTTATAAACAGCGACAAGATATTTATAAACACTGGTGACAATTAGTGTCGCCCACAAACTTACTTAGCATTCCTTTAAGTTCTTCATCCAAGTCATTTATGAAAACATTAAAGAGAACTGGCCCAAAAATGGAGGTCTATGGAACCCCAGTAGTGAGCGGCCGCCAGCCTGATGTCACTGAGTTTCCTGTAACCATTTGAGCTTGGTCCGTCAGCCAGTTCTCACCTACTGTGCTGAGTATTTTCACCGTGATGGAAGGAGAGCTGTATAGCATACGTGAGGAATAAACACAACGTATATTGCATATTTCTGAAGAGGACAGGTACTATATGTGCGGTGTAGCATGCAGGCTGGGAAGAGAGAGCAAGAAGTGCTTTGGTTGTAGTTTGAGTCATTAAGGTTTCTTTCTTGTTTTTTTTTTTTTTTTTTTCCTTATCTTTCATTTCTTTTCCTATAAAAGCCATCAGGAGATTTGAACAGCTACCGCAGCTTTTAATAAGCCTACTGCCATGCTCAAATATTTCTTTGTTGCCACAGGAGTTAAAAATTACTTGTTAATGAAAACCGAGGTTAAGATCAGCCACCCCTGCAGCCAAGACTCCTGATATGTCCGTGTCTGGCAGGCGCGGGGCCGCCCGGCCGGGCCTTCCCCTGGGCGCCGGGAGGCGGTGCCGCTCCGCTTCCACGGCAACAGCGGAGGCCGCGCCGCGGCGGGCGGGTGGCAGCCGGCTCCATGGCCTCCCTGGCCGAGCCCCCCGGCTCACGGGCGCACTCCCGCTCCCCAGGGCTGTCCCCGGCCCTCGGTCCCTCTCGCTGCGGCGGGGAGCGGCGCAGGGCCGGCTCGGATGCTGTTCAGGTGAGCTCCCCAGCGCCCGGCCCCGCACGCACGTTACCCTGCGTCCGCGTGTCGTTTCCTGTTGGAATAACGTGGCGCTTGCATATTTAGGGTCTAAGCGCCTTGCAAGCGCGGTCTGACAGCCATGCCTAAAACGTGTAACTTTTCCAGGAGACGCAGGTGCGGCCGGATCTGAACCACGCCATCAAGCTGCTGGAAGATGCAGGCTCCGTAAGTAAGGCTGAGAAAACGTTGTTTCTGCTGCACTGGCAATAATGAGGTGTGGAAAAGCATTTGACACAACCACGTTTGTACCTGCCCCCAGAAAACCACCTGCTTTGGTGGCTGGGGCTCCAGAGCACAAAGCTGAGCTCACTGTGCAATGACACTTCTTCTGAAGGTAGTCATTTTAATGGGAAATGGCACCTAGGAGTTTTTTGCCTGTTAAATATCCCTTTGTATCTTTACACGGACACTTTCCCAAAAGAGACAAATGCTCACTCAAAAGCTAGATGTACAGTTACTGGTTTATCTGGAGTTTTAGAATGCTGAAGCCCTTACCTGAAAAATGGAAGTACATACAGACTTACTGAAAGTATGTCAGAAACTTATCCAAACCCCCAAGTCAACTGCTAGCGTTTTTCTAAGGAACTGATGCTAACGGAAGAAACTATTCAAAGTTCAGTGTTCAACAGCAAATATGACCTCCTGGGCACACAGGAGAGCAGTATCTCATAGTCTTCCAGACTGTCTTTGGTCTTCGCAGAAAGATTTGACAGGCTAAATTCACTACGCCATTAGTCACTTTGATCTGAAAACTTAATAATTTATATTCTTCAAATAAGAACTTGATTGGTGTTTTTATAGCATTTTTTAAGTTGGACTAGTCCATGGTTTTTTTTTTGTTTTGACACAGAATAAACTTACAGGCTGAAGAATATTCTGGATGATATAGTTCATTGCTTCTCTACACAGTATGGAGTATCTGATGAAATGGCCTTGGAATTCTGGGCTTGTAGACTGACATAACTTTCTAGCCTGCCTCAATTTGCACTGCTCTTGCTCAGTGTGGAGGTGCTTAGGAGAGCTGGAATGAATACTGCGTGCCCTGGCAAACTGATGTAGCCATTTCTAACTTTGTATTTGCAGGCAGTTTCCCAACGGGTGTAGAGCTCCATTCCAAGCAACTTATAGCTACATTTATACACATTTATGTCACGGGAAATATGGTTTGGTTTTTGTAGTGTGCTCTCACAAGATCTCAAAGAATGTAGTAGGAAGAGCTCATAAATTTGAACAAAAGATGCAGTTTTAAAGTCTCTTTAGTTACAAGAGTATAGGCTCTGTATTTAGAGCTTGTGGCTTGACCAAGGATTTAATCCTCTTGCAAAGCGCTTTTCATTGTGTCTTGTGACTTTTTAATCTGGTTTCCACTTTCATTTAAAATTAAAGGGGACAAATAGAATCATTTAATGTTCTAAAGCAAACTGCAATTAAAAACTACTTTCCATTCTTATATTTAAGAGTGATTTGGAAGATGAGCAGCTGAAAGTTCTCAAGAAGGTAGTCAAGTCTTTTGAAAATGGGCTTGTATCCTTTTTGCCACTCTGTAGAATCCTAAAGTTATGGTGTGTTATGTATGGTAATATTCTGTCTTTGCAGCAAACCATTCTTGTTCCTACATGAAGAGCAGTGATAGCCCAAGTGCGTTCTCAGCAATGATCATCTTATGCACATACAGCTGAGGTTGTTAGGATAGCAAGATTCCTGGGTGCCTGATTCATTTGCTACCGTATTACATAGAGGAATCTCAGCTTTACAGTCTTTGAAGAAAAATGAAGACTGTTCATCTGAAACTTTTGTATGTTTTCAGTAAAATTGAAGAAAGTAATTGGAAGGACTAGGGAAAATGTGAACATTTGGAAAAATGTGATTAATTAATTTTGTACAGTTCAATTAATTGCCACAATGATTTTAGCTTTCAGATTACTTCATAATTGAGTTGTGGCTAAGCACTTACGGTTGGTATTCATGAGTAAGTGGATTTGCAGTAACTTCTAAGTTCCAGTGACCAGTTCTGTTTTGATTTTGTGCCTCTAAATTTGGTAATATATGTTTACGTTCAAATTCTCAAGCTTTTGTACTCCAAGTAAGCCATTTGGGAATAGAATAGGAAAGAATTTAAATACCACAATGCTGTTTCAGACAGAATTTAGGTAGATAAATCTACCTAAAATAATTTTAAATCTACCTAAATGATGTTTCTGTTCTATATTTTTAGATACTCAGTTCTGAACTTCCAGTGAGTTCAGCTGAGAAGAAAGCTAAATGAGACCTGCAGGAGTTTCACTTCTGTAAAAGGAAGGCTGCTTCCAAAGATCGAAGTATAGACTCATGAGCTTCGTTTTACTCTTCTAACTTTAAAAGCACTGGCCTTGGTTGTTCTTAGTTGTGTCTTTGAAATATGATGCAGTTTCCAAGCTCTTCATTTAATTCATAGCAGAACAAACATTTGGATTTCCTTAGCTTTAAATTAAAAGCCCCTTAAGGATTTAACACAAATAATGGACATTCTTAACCTGTGTGCAGAAAAAGTGAATGAACAAGAAGCTTTCGTTGAGCCTGTATGTGAACTTATTAAGTTATGTGGGTAAGTATCGAAGCCCTTTTATAGATTTCAAACACTACTTATTAACACATCCATACAGTTTCTAAAAGAACTGCTGTATTCCTATGGCACCTGCAATAGAAGGCATCTACTTCTGAAGGTATCTATTATGTCACCCTTCCTTTTCATGAACAGTTTTTACCTTGAGTCCATTTTCTATTGGCATGAAAAACATAATTTAGGAGCCGAGTATCGGTGGAGCCACATATTACATCATGCAAAACTGTATTATAGTTAGCCCCAGCTTACTTGGAAGTAAGATTCCCCAAGGTGCTTCATTGCCTAGAGTTAAGTTATTCTAGGGCTGCTGCCCTCAAGAGATTCAGCTGTTAAGTCTTGCTGAAGTGTGTTTTGATGTTTCAAAGGAGATTTCTCAGTGAGTTTAAAAAACTGACACTTAAATACCTGAAGGTAAGCTTTGGGAAATGACAAGCCATATTGCAAAAGAGGAAGTGTTAGGGCAATTGGAGGATTTCAAATTGCTTTACAAACATGTTTTATAAAGTTTTTGGCATCTTCACTGTCATACTGTGCTGCAAATTACTGGTAGAATAGAGTTCAGGTGTTACCATACTTGTCCATACCTGTCTCCTTCTGAAGAACTTATAAATTATAAGTTGCTCGTGGACTTTTTGTAACTAGTTAGTCAGCTACTGCAATTGGTGAGAACAAGGAAGAGAAAAATTATACCACGCAGTAAATGAGTAAGCTGGGTATTCAAAAAAGATTTTGCATAGCTTTCTTTCAGATGTTGGCTTTAGTAAATGTAAAATTTTTGATCTGAATCTTTTACTTCAAAAAGCAGTTATACTGCTTTACTTTGCTGCCACGCTGTGGAGAATGAGAAAGTACATCATGGAGGTTCATTTCCTTGTGCATGTAGCAGAAACGTGGCAAAACTGAGAATAAGGACATAAAGTCAATGAAATGTAGTTATGAGTAGAGGCTTTCATTTTTTGTAGCAGTTCAGCAACTTTAGTTATGTTTATATATTTTGGATGATTGTGCCCTTGGGTTTTACTTTAATTTTTATATTATGGAAATTCCCCCACAATTCATTACTTAACATGACAAAGAGAAGCCTGTAACTAGAGGAGGAGCTGCAATTTAACAGTTGCTTTTTGATACTGGAACTCTCATAGCAGAATTTTCCACTCTTTTGTAGCTGCAGCTATTTGCCTGTCTTCCCACTTATTTCAGTCTCTGTGTCTTTTTCTTCCCCCACCCTTCCCCACCCCATACATTTATTCTATTATTCAATCTCTCCTTTTCTCTGCCTGTGTTTACAGAGGTAAACCTACCGGAAAGCTGTTTCTGCACTTTGAGCAGCACAGACCTCAGCACAGAATTTTTAGCTCTTACACGTTTATGTCATATTTGAGTATTTTGCAAATGTTGTTGGATATTTCTTAATATCCTGTTTTTAAAAATGAATATGTAATTGGACTATTTTGAGTCAGTTTATTGGTTTTATTTTCATCCATTTGTAGAGGTCCTGCCCAGGGACATGATCTTGTTTTCCATCTCTGCTTATATCTCTTCATAGTGACACTCTGCAATAGCTTGATAGTACCTCTGTTCGAGGATTCCATCTTCCACATTTAAAATGACATTTGTTTGTTCAAAGAATTTCTGACTGTACAAAATATGAATTATGGAAATGTTCTCTGTGAAATACATACTACTGTTTGCCAAAACGAAGTTGCCAAATTGTGGAACTGGAGCTCTCAGTATAGAAACAGCATGGCAGAGGATGTATTTGTCTTGCAAAAAGTGTCCATGTTTGCGAAAATGTTTGAAGGAAGGAGAGAAAAAACTGTTGAGCTTTTCTGGTGGTATAATTAAAGTATTCTTCTGCAGTGTTTTAAACATGCTTGTAATATTTCTTTATTTCATTTTGTAGTTTGCCATTTCAAAAAAAGAAATTATCAGATGAAGTAAACTATTCTGTGGCAGTTTCAAAATCCATTGCACAACTTGGTGAGTGTAGACTGAGATGCCATAATGCCATCAATATATAAAATGAACTGTATTATTATCACAATTTTAATTGCTTGTTACTTCTGTAGTAAGTGCACGTCATTTATTTTGGTTATTCAGTCAGTACTCTGTGCTTTTTACTATTTAGATACCACTCTTATTTTGCTGTGCAGCTAACCCAGGGATTAGCTAGCAGTTACCTGTTTGCCAGTATCAGAAGCTATGTGAGATAACTTTATCGATACAGTTGAAGAACTAAACTTGTTTGAATCAAACTTGTTTGATTGCTGTTTGCTTTGAGAAATATATGTATTACTACCCTGAAGTCTGGGATAAGGGGAATAAGTTCCTTTTAGTCTTCTTTGAAACCAAATGGAATAAAGAAGTTAGAAACAGTAACTCTTAAATTTCAGCTTCTGCCTTCAAAACCTGAAAGCCTGAGATTTATCACCTGCAAAGGCAAAGTACAGCAAGTCAGTGTAATGCTGTGCCTTTACTAGGAGCAGCAGTTCCTGACCTTGGCCTTTGTCTTGCATGTGAGCTTTAAGCTTCTATCCATTTTAAGAGACCTTTAGAGGAAAAGGTGTCAAACTCATCTATCAGTGTCACTGGATGTCCAAATGCCAAAGTATCTTGTTAAATGACCTTACATGTGATATCTGTGATTTTCAAAGAAAGTATTGCAAGTCTTGTAGATCAAAAGCAGCATGTGAAGCAGTAGTGACTTATCAGCTCACCTGATGGAAAAGATTCCATCAATAGTATGGATGGCACGCTATCCACTAATAGTTCTAATAGTGCACGGTAGCCCAATCAGCCTGTCACAAATGAAAGAAAGATTGTCCTTCAAATCAATGACAAAGATATCACTCAAGTCTTCATTTTCATATTCCCAGATAGATAAAAGAATGAGCTGTGGGCTTCAGATAGTTCCAGATTCTCCTTAGAGTAGCCTGTGCAAAAAGAGATACTAAAATCTGAACTTTTATTTATATTATCTATGCTAGGCCCTGGTAAGTCTCAAAGGGTTTCTTTTTGTCTTGTGGAAAAGAAATGCTCTTCATGCTCCCATTGTGTCATATCATGTCTGCTTGAAGAGTGTCTGACATGATGACAGCAGCCTGGTGTGGTAGCTTTCTCCTGAGTACCTTCTGGAATAACATCCTGTCTCATAAGGATCTGTAGCCGTAAAGCAGAGGAGGTCACTTTTGGATAAAACTTGTTACTCCTCCAAGGCTACTTTGTCTTATTCTGCGTTGGGGTCTTGGTTCTTTGATTATTTTATAATCAAACTGCTCGAAACATAGAAAGATTTGTAAGGGGTATGGCCAGAGGAAACACAAAGTACTGAAAAAAGAATGATGGTGAACTTCTACAACAATTATTAACTTTGTACATTATTTTGTTTTTCTGTTTCTGGCAGGTTGTTTGATGAGGGTGCCAAGTTCTCAAGTTAGAATACAAATCTGTAAGTGTATAATTAGCTTTTATAAGATGGAGCTACCAAAAAAACTACTTCCAGGTAAAGCATGGTGTTTTCAAGAAGAAATGTCAGAAGAAATCTGTGTTTGTAGCCAGCTAGTTTGAAATAGGGCCTTTAATTAGGCAATTTTTTTTTTCTGTATAACCATAGTTACTCATATTAAGTATGTAGCATTGCTGAGCGTGTAATTAATATATTTTTGCAGACATACATACCCAAAGTATTGAATTATTTCGTGTGCAATGAATTATTTATTACATTTATAAAACTATAAAAGGATTAAATAATATCCAGAAGATGTGAAGCAGTCACAAGCTCTCTGAAAGAATGGGTAATAGAGAAAAAAAGACTAATTAGGACCAGATCTATGAGAAAAGAAACATAATTTTCAGCTATGTATATGCAGCCTGGAGAGAAGTAACTCTGGTTTCTCTTGTGTTGCTCATAAGGGAGCAACATCTGAAGCCATCTAATTTTAATCATGTCCTTATGGAAACATTTCAGCATAGACTCTGAATAGATTATGAAACTTATCTGCAGAAAGAGGCTGGTTATGGCTGCAGATGAGCTCAGGCATGATCCTGTGGTAGTATGGATATGTATGCAAACTGTCATCAGAATGCACTACTGTTGACTACGATGATGTCAGAGTCTGTTACCAGAAAAAGTCAGTCATGGATCCCCTCTTAGAGGGGACATGATCAGTGCTGGAAGACGATACTAGGTTGTAATATGGCCAAGTTACAGATGAGAATTGTGCAGTGTGGATCCAGAGCACAGCTGAGGTAGCGTGCTTCAGTATGCCTCCCTGCTGTGTTCCCATGGTGTAGCATTAGCTACTGGGCCCTCTGGCTATTTGTCATTTGTTTCTGGAGGCCTAAAGAAACTGTCACTGCAACAGCCCTCACAAGGTTCTGGAAGCGTGAAAGCATTTAAATCTGTTCTTAACTTATAAGCGAGATTCCAAGCCCTACAAGCATGTAGGCATGTATGCATGTATGTGTGCATATGCATGCATTTAGTTGTATATCTATGAATAGTTCAATCAACATAATTGAATGTTAAAATACAGAGAGATTTTATTTTTCTTCTCCAGATTTAGAAAATAGATGTGCTATCTCATTAAAAAAAAAAAAAAAAAAAGTATTTCAGTCTGACTTTGTGAATCAAATTCTTAATCTCTAAGCATTCTTCATTTTATATGTCTGTGCTATCCTCTCTTATTCACATATTTGCCAGGTCAAGATGCCAAATCTGTTTGAACTTGGTAGTATGTAAGCTTTTCAATGCCTTTAATAATACTTGTTACCTGGCCGCCTGTCATTTTTTTTGGTCTGCTCTTTTTTTTGAGATGTGGGAGGCTGCTATTGCTGAATGTGCTGGATGCTGGCATGCCAGACAGCATTGCAGTGATATTCTGTTTTATCTATTGTACTTTTTAACAATTGCTAATATTTCCTTGGATCTTTTGAAACTGTCCATCAGAAATTGAGCTGATATTTTCCTATAGTAGTCCATAAGGATCTCTTACTTATCAAATGGTACCAATTTAGAACCTGTGAGAGTTTATACTTAATTAAAACAGCCTTTCACAATGTGTGTTATTTGCATTTCATGTTATTTAATATATATAGTTAAGCTATTTAAGATACTTTACATTCACAAGTTAACATATATAAATGTAAATTCTCTTCGCTTCCCCTTCCTCTGTAATTCAGTGATAAAATATGGATTCCCTTGTTCATGGGCAAAAATAAAACCAGGGATACATTAGAAATTCAGGCATGTAAATCAAAGTTTGGATTCACATGCTTTAAGTAATATATCATAGAAGGCATTAATTCTAGTGAAGAGACTAAAGAAAAGAACTAGATCCTGCACCAGCACATACTGCATGACCTGAAGAAGGAAGACCTCTCCCTGCACTCTTCTTATTCTAGAAAGCAATTAATGTGTTTGTATAGCATTTTAGTCTTCTAGAAGGTAAGATTGCTTTGGGCACTGTTAATACTCAGATATAATCAGCTCCCATTGTTTTATTAGATTTTTTTTCATTTATTTAAATCTAGAGAAATGTGCCACTTCTATCTCAATCATTTTTTTTTGATAAAGAATGAATGATTGATGAAGTAACCAAAGATCTGAATTTACTGTATTATAATAAAACCTATTCTATATGCAGGTTACCAGCCAACAAGTGCAAACTATAAGATTCAGATGGCTGAATTAGGAGGATTAGCAGAAACTCTTGTTTTATCTCTAGCATTAGTTGAAAATCAACTTACTGAGAAGCTGTGGGTTCTTAAAGCTCTTGAGCACCTCTCCAGCTCTGGTTAGTACAGCTTGTTCTTTCAACAGTCTTACTATCCTTGATCATTTGTTCTCTAGAACAATGACTGACCTACTTAGAATTAATTATTCAGATTTTCATAATTTCAGGAGTAAATTGCAGACATATGATGAAGGCTCAAGCAGCCAGCAGACTCTGTTTGTGTCTAAATGGCACTGATCCCTCAGGACAACTGGTGTTCCGCTCATCAGAAATCCTATGGAATCTACTAGAAAATAGCTCAAAAGAAGAAGTTGTTAATCAACTCAGTAGCTTGGAATGTATACAGTAAGTACAATGAAGCATTTTATGAATTACTGTTGTAATTTTGGAGAAACCTAAAGCACTGTTAACGTGTTGCATAATTATAAGTGGTGGTGGGGTGATAGAACAGGTTGCCCTGAGAAGGTGTGGATGCCCCATCTCTGGAGGCTTTCAAGGCCAAGTTGAATGGGATCATGGGCAGCCTGATCTAGTGGCTGGCAACCCTGCCCATGGCAGGAGTTTGGAACTAGGTGATCTCTAAGATCCTCTCCAACCTAAGCCATTCCATGATTCTGTGGTAAAATTAGTAAGAAAGTCTATATTATGGCATCTGAGGCTTTGTTTTAAATCTTCTGCTGTGGTAGGTAATGAGTTCTCTCTTAGTGAGTTACACTGTTTTTGCTATTTGTATTTGCTATTATCTCTTCTCAATAACCATTCAACAACATCCACAATTGAGTAAGTATTATGTCTTTCAATTAAGTAAGTCATTATAGCACATGCAATAGAAGATGCAATTTGAAATACAAATTATATGCAAGGTGCATATATGCTTAAATTGTGTTTCTAGTGGTACACGTAAGAATCCATTTCGTATGTTGTTGTTGTTGAACGATAAGACTTTGAAAAGTATGATGCTGAATGAGGATACTTATACCTAGAGCTGTCTAAAATTAGAATATGGAGAGAGTAAAATGCTTTTCATTTTATTTTAAGTGCATTGAAGGAAGTATTTGTGGACCGGCTCATAAATGGATTCCGCCATTATGATCGTCAGCTAAGGAACGACCTCCTGGTGATTGCCACGTTAGTAGCTGAAAACTCTGCAGCATCTATGATTGTAAGTATTCATAATTATATTTTTAAGGCTAATAACTTTTCCTTTTCTATTGTATACTTAGTAGTTTTCACTGTTGAGCTTCTGTTTGTTAAAATCTGTCTTCAGTGCTTAGCTCTTAGGTCTGCTAATCCAGAAATCTTTTTTCTTTCAGCCATTCCTTCTATCTCAGAGAGATTATTATATGTATATATACATATACATATACAGTATGTACTATATATACTCTATATACTCTTCCTTCTATCTCAGAGAGTCTATATGTCATTACTCTGGTATGCTAGCATCAACTTTATTTGGTACTTAGGAAACTAGCTAATACTTTTAATGTGCAAAAGTTAGCTCCTGTACATGTTCTCAGATGTGCCATTCTGTAGCAGTGAGTTTTGCACTATGTTTTATTTGTTGTCTGAAGATGCAAAAGTACCAGCTGTATTCAGATAGGCCAAATTCAACCAAAGTACCTTTGCCTCGTAAGAAGAGTCCTCCAAAAATGACCTCGGAAGATTTAAATAAGATGCTGAAAAAAAATTGACTAGATCCAGTTAATGAGGTAGATAAATTCCCTCTAAAACTAGATCACCTAAATGTAGCCCTAAATGCATTATCGTAACTTGTCTAAAAAGTAGATGCATCATTCTTTTGCTCAAGAATGTTTTCATGCCAGAGTTTTCATGAGGAATTTGATAGAAGGCAACTTTTTATGGCTGTTGATATTCTTTTACTCTCTTGATTTACTGTTGAGATTTAGAACTGTGGCATACAAGCAGAATGACAAAGTAATCAAATTACTGTCTGTGTTGATCAACTGGCTGTGCAGGAATGGATTATTTTCAGGGAATTCATATCTAAACCTCGACAGAATTTTCCTATTTGACTATATTACCAAATAGATTTTATAGTCTGTTGTGAAGATTAAGGATTCTTCATTCAGTTTTTTCCATTTTATCACTCACATTAAGGAATGTCTGTCATGCTATTGCAGAAAGATATTTGATGTCTAAAGCATTCAAATTGTTTACGTGGCTGCAGAAACAAGGCAGTTTTTTTCCTACAAGAAACAATAACAAGGACATGGCATTTTTAGTCCTTGTACTAAAAATAAATAGTGTGAACTCTGCTCACGCTGTGTGCTGGTGGAAAGACCTGTGATGAGTTTGCCTGAGTGCTGAGGCCAAGTTAATTTGTTTTTTTTTTGTTCAAGAGCAGGTGTCATACTAACTGCATTTACGTGGCTTCCAATCATCTCAGAAACAGCTCTAGTGTGCTCTGTGGACAACCCCTCTTGTCCATAGTAATATTGGACATGATTATCCTTCTGGTTGTCTAGTAGCAGTATCATATTTGTAAATGCAAGTTGCTCATACATGCAGTTTTCGTAAGCTTACTTGTAAAGCACTGAAGCTGAAATTGTATGTTGTGGTGACCTTGATGTACAAAGTTCTGTGTGCACAAATGCATTTTGAAAAAAATCTTTCAACTCTCACAGTACTGAGAATGCTGCTCTCTTGTGTGGTAGATTACAATAGTGAGTACATGTGTTTGGGATTTCCCCAGACAAGTTCAGATTTGCTGGGTGAGACATGGGTTTAAAGAATTGTACGCTTAGCCCTATAGTTAACGAGTTCTGTACAGTGTCCAAATTGAACTCTTTGATAAAATTCTGTATTTTGCTATAGAATGCATTTAATTCTATGTTCTGAAGAAAAAAAAAAACAAAATTAAATAATCAGTTTTAATTTTACAGCAGTTTATTTCAATTAATGTATTTATTTTGAATGCCTACTAGGAAAGTGGATTTACAATGCTGTTAATAGTACTTGCAACGTTTACGGAAGGTAAGAAGTTTCATACTACATAATTACAGTATTTTTTCTTTTAATTGAAATATTGTCATAATGTATCTATTAACGTATCAATTTCCTCCGCAGCTAAAATTCCCAATCCTTTGTTAAAAGGTCTTAAACTTACCTACTCTTATGAAGACTTTGAGATGAAGAAGTTGTTGTTTAACATTATAGGGATCTTTTCTAAAGACCCGCATGCTGTACAGGTAAGTTCTAAGACAAGCGAAGATACAGTAAGCCAAAAAAGAAAATAAGTCAAAAAATTCACGATTCCTATTTATCTGTTCATCTGACATGGAGCAGTAAACCAAAACGAACTGTTCTCTAAATCAAGAATTCGAAACTACACACCATATGTAACTCCAAGCCAAGTTTGCTGTTTGAAAGCAGCGTGTGGTTTGTTTTAGAGACCATGCTATAAAAGTGAGCTGACAAATGGCTACGAAGCATTATTGAGATACAATTGAAGAGCATAATAAAGTTTTACAAACCACAGACTTTGGGAATGCTACAGAGTATAAACACAACTTGTCAGGAACAGTGCAAGCACAGACATCTTTTCCCAATAAAAAATAATTTTCTTAGTGTAAGATAGATAAGAAAAATCTTTATTGTTTGCTTTATTTGCATGTGAAACCTGTAAGCTGCCTCTTTCTCTTTTGAATCTGCAGCTTCTCAGTGAAAATGATGTGATGCCAGCTTTGTTGGATTATGTAAAACCACATAAGAAGCCTGGATTTCATGACTGGTCTGCTGCTCAATATGAGGAATTACAGCTTCATGCAATTGCTATTTTAGCTTCAGTGGCTCCCTTGTTAGTTGATAAATATTTGTCTTGCCAAGCAAACACTCTTCTTCTTGTGTTTCTAGAATGGTGTATAGGTCAAGGTCAGTAGACGTTCATGGCTTTTGTACCGCAGTAATCTCAGCACATAACTCACCTGGCCTTAATTTCTCTGGCAGAAAGGAAAAATGGAAAACTTGTGAAGTTGAAATGACTCTTTTTTACATGTCATACGTTAATAAGGGGTTTCCAAAACTTAAAATAATAAAGTAAATATAAAAAAAAATAAAAGAAGGAAAGAATTCTGTAATAATTTTCACCATTAGTCAAAATCAAACTTTTCTTTTGCATATATATGCTATACATATTGCATCTATATATAGCCCTTCACAAAATGGCTTCTTAATAGGCTATTGCAATCAAGAAGCTTTTTTAGCAGTAAGATATTTGTTTGCTTGTTTTAGCTTACTTGCAATGGCAAGGCCTTCTTTTTATTTATGGAAAATTCTGGGAATGTTATTATGAACATGCATTGTCTGCCAATGAAAATATTCTTCATGTTTGTTCCACAGATCCTTTCTTTGGTCAAGGTAACAGTTTCCATGGAACAGGTGGTCGTGGCAGCAAACTTGCACAAATGCGCTACAGTCTGAGAGTGCTGAAATCTGTTGTATCCCTTCATGATGATGCTGTGAACCTCAATTTGTGTGACCAGGGAGCAATTAGCCAGCTACTGGGTAAAGCAAGGTTTTTATTGCTTACTGTATATTATTGGTTATTGTATATTTCTTTAGACACTGAGAATTTTCATGCATTTTCTTACAATGTGTTTTTAGTGTGTTACTACTTAGTAACACCCTTGGGTGTGTACACCTTAAATACAAAAAGTAATTTGATTTTTAATCAAATGAAAGCTGACCCTATTATTTCTCTGTCATTATACCATGTTTGTTGCACATTATTTGCACTGTCTATAGGAAATCCTGTTGTGAGTCTGTTCTATATTATGACCTTCCACAACTCCTCTTAAGAATAAAGAAAAATCAAAACCAGTGTACTTTCATGTAAATAACTTTATAAAGATTAAAATCAGTATATAACTTCATAACCTAATTAGCAGGAGTAGTGATTGTTTTTTTTTTTTTTTTTTTTCAGTAACATAAGCCTTCTATCATATGTAATTTTTAAGTTCTTTTTTTAAAATTCTTACCTTACAATAATCATTTTTCCAGCTCTGAAAGAATTGCACTGAAAGGAACAAATAGGTAAGATAGTTTAGAATTCAGAGTATGGTCTAATAGAAAACCTAGAAACCATAGATTTTATATCCTCAGCTGAAAATTAAACTCCTCTGAAAACAAAAATAAAAAAAAAAAAATGAAAAAAAAAAAATGAAAAAACTGTGAAAACATTAGTGTTTAATGAGGGCAAAATTAGCAATATAACTCATGTATCAGATGACTTCCATATGGAATATTCACATAAAAGGTTTTTATTTGTAGATGTCCTGAAGTATGCAGCAAACAAATTGGAACAAAAAGATGATGCCATTCTGCTGGAAATCCAGGCTAACATATTATTTATTTTGTCTGCTCTCTGTGAAAATGATGTCCACAGAAAGGTTTGTATCCTTCTACCTCATCATGAACAGAAAATATTTTGTTTGTTTCCTTCTTAAATCAATAGCAGATGCCAGTTGTACTTCATTGTTAGGAGGTCAGAGCTGATAACTGCTATGTGTGACTGTTAAAAATAAAATCACTCAAGTGTCTCACCTATTTAGTTGCTAATTTACATGTTTTTCATAAAAGTATGAAAGAATGGGATTATCAGTTAAGAAGTACTGAATAGTTCTTTTTTCTTATGTTTATTATGAGAAATATGTCCCACTTTAAGTAGGGGGCCAAATTTATTACAATATATACACTTTAAATTTAAAATTTTCTTTGGATTCTCTGATGTGTAGCTACTTAGTAAATATTATTTCAGAAAAATATTGCTTTAATTATTTTTTAACAGGAACTCTTCAGCTATGAAGGAGTGGATTTACTTATCTCATTCATTCAAATGGATCCAAAGAAGCTGCACAGTGGGCTGGGCCACAATCGTCTCCTTTTCAGTGCACTGGACTGCTTATGGTTAGTAAAGAAGTGTTTTAGCAGTGGCAGCTGTTAAAAATAGCAGCTCATGGATTTTTCATCTGCAATATTATGGCCTTCCTATATGGCACATATAGGTCCTTCTTCCATTTAAAACATGTAAAAATTAGTGTTGACTAATTAAAAAAGAATACAAAAATAACAGATATTTTGCATAAATTACCTAGACAGGGACACACTGAGACAGTCTAATTCCCTGTCCCTACACAGCAGTATAGCTCCCTGTACAGGATGGCCTCATAGAATCATAGAATGGCCTTAAAGATCATCTTGTTTCAACCCCCCTGCCACAGGCAGGGTCACCAACTACTAGACCAGGCTGCACAGAGCCACATCCAGCCTGGCCTTGAGTGCCTTCAGGGACCTCCTGACACTTCAATGCAGAGCTACATTAAACTTTCCAGAAAAGAAGTGTCTGGTTGGAGTCTCTAAATTGCCTCAAAAGAGTAAACACAAGTTGATAATAGACCATTGTTAGCAAAAAATTGTGCAGGCATTAGAAGTGTTTATGAACTGCCTATAGTTGGACTAGAAATTTTTCAAAAATTGCTATCAGAGATACAAGAGGATAAACAAAAGTTAATTTGTTTGAAGTCAGAATTTGATAAATATACAGAAAGCTATATAGTATCATCATCTGGGAGAACAGACAGCTCAGTGATGCAGGCAAAACCCTTCAGTCTCTGCATTAATCTGGAAATTATTAAAGACAGCAGTAGCATTATGAGTGCTGGTTTTATGATTGGTTTAAGCTGGGAGAAGCCCACCCTGTTGCCCAAAGAAAGTCTTCATTGTCTGGCTCTCTTGATTCTACTGCAGGAATATTTACACAGCTTTGCAGTGAGCCAGATCAATAATATCATGTAGCTAAATGTTAGCATCTTTTACTGAATTTTAGTTCAAATCTCTATTCTAATCCAGTCTGTAGTGAACCTGCCAAATTTCTTGGCTGCTATGAGGAAGGTGTGCCACCTACAGGAAAAGAAATATTTAATTACACAGTATAAATGAAAATACACAAGGGCAAGTATATGAAAATCATTTCTTCTACTCCCTGAAGGTATTAAGCTTATTGAATACAAAATACTTTTATGTAATTCATAAAATAAATGAAGTATTTGTAGAATTCTCTGAAACATAAAAGTGTTCTTACGTATTGAAATTATTTCTGTTGAAGGTCCTGTGTCATTGGATGCTACATTGCAGAGGATTATTTTCTAGAACAACAGGGCATTTTTCTCCTTCTGGATTTGCTGGCAGTAGGTATTTTTATTATTTTTATTACAAAATAAAAGAGTAGTAAAACAACATGGAAAATTGTATTTTTAATGGTATGTCCTAAGACTGTTGTAGTACTGACAAGAAGGCCAGTCTGTGTAATTCCCTGAGACAAGAAAGTAATCTGCACACCAGGATATCTGCTCAGAAATGACTGGAAAGATATTCCATGTATCTTTTTTGTTAAATAAGCAGTTGGCAGAGAGTCTTAAATTTACCAAGATATTTTTTTGCAGGGAACTCAAGCTATGCTTTATTTTGAATGATGTATCTGCTTAGAAAAGCACATATTGAAGTTAGTAACAGAAGAGGTAGTATACTCTTCAAGGCTTTAAAAGTTTTGATGTTTAAAGTTATTTTGTACGTGCAACATAACAGCTACAAGTAGTGTAATAGCTACTTTTATGTATCTGTGGCTTGCGTCTGGCACTAGCATTTCACTTCAAGCATTTCACAAAGCTGAAGGCCCTTTGCTGCTAAAAGGTCTGGCCACAGAAGAAAACAGGTCTCCTATGGTACTGCTCAGCCTCTGCCTTCTGAGTCTGTTTCTTATGAATATAAATCTTGGTATAGCACATCATCAAAAATTCATCTGCATGTGAGCCTGGAGGGGGCAAATATCTGTGATTAAAAGCTCCTAGTTACTCAATTACATATTACAGAATTCCTCTTTTTGTTTTTTAAATCTAATGTAGATTAATTCTGTGCTATGACAAATTGAAACTTTTTTTTTCCTTTTCTCTTCACTAAGTTAAAACAGAAAAACTTGTGCAATGTAATTCTTGGGATCCTCAGTGAGTTTTGTGACAATCCCAAAACTATTATTCACATCAGTGCCTGGAGGGGGGAGAAAGATCAAACAGCAGCTAAACTGCTAATACAGCTATGGAGACAGGAGGAAATGGACTTGGGAGTCCAACGTGATCAATATGGAAGGATTGCTGGTAAGTTTTGTGATACATATGAAACTGTTAGTCAGCAAAGCTCCTCACATAATAAATAAACAAAATACATTTGCTTTTGATGCCAGAATCATAATGAGAGTAAACTGTAATGTTTATAGGTTTATGCTGCAGTTCTCAGCAGTCAGAATACTTCATTTATGTTTTATTGGAGTCTGGCCGCTAGATGGCATTTCCTACATTAGCTGGGAAAAATGAACCATTACAAGTACCTTAAACTGGTTTTCTAATGCTGGAAAATTACTAAGATAGCATTTCCTCTAATCTTAATAGTTTTGGGAACATACTGTCCGTACTGCCTCTTCAACTGTTTTTATATTTTGAAATGTGTAGATGTGAAGAGACCTATTGCTGGCAACTTCCAAAAAGAGCAAGAGGTCATCCCCATGCCTTCCAGCTGTCCCAGCTTTGCCATTGTGGAAATTTCAGAAAACATACGGGCAAAACTTTATTCACTATTGTGCAAGCTGGGTAAGAAAAATGAATTTCTTTTTCAGTGTCATATTTGTCATTAAACAAAACTCGTTAACTGGCAGTCAGTCAAGTCTCTAATATAAAAAAAAATGAAAGGAAACTTGAGATCATCAATAGTCTGTTATTATTAGATGCTTGCTCATCCTCTTCTAAGAAGCCTCTTTTCATGGGGATTGCAAGACTTCACCAACGTTTTGCTGCCCTTACCATTAGTAAGCTTTCCTAGAATCAAATCTAAAGTTTCATCGAAATGTTCTGTCATTTATTTTCCTGCACATAATATCTTTCATGTGTATTATCATTGTCGTTAGAAGTACTACATTCTGCATTCTTTACCCATAGTTCTCATTGTCTAGAATAGCCTCTGATTGTTTTCATCATTTTTTTCTTGAATCTTTTCAATTGGTTCACATTCTTCTTGATCTTTCATGTCCCAAAACTGAATACACTCCACCAGAAGCCTCACAGCCTCATATTTCTCATCTTGTAAATAACCATACTGGCAATAATATAATAATTGCTATTGTCACAATGGCATTTCCTCTCTTGATATATATGATCTTGTACAGCCTCCAGTCATCTAACATCTGGATCTGAACAGTTGACTATTTCTATGAATTTTGCATATGTCCTTACTGAATTGCATTCTGTGTTTTTAAAATAATTTTTCAAACTGGTATTTTAATTTGCATTCTTAACTTTGGCTTCAATTTGCTGCACTCTCTTCTAACTATGTGTTGTTTGCCCATTGAATATAAATAGTTATTACACCTTTGTCTAAAAACCTAATCTGAAGTTCAGATACTTGATAAGCCTTCTTGCTTGGTGTACAAAATACTAGGCAGAATGACATGGTCTTTTTTTATTACTTCATGGTGGATGTTAATGTTTCCACTGTTACCATTTAGCTACACAAATTGGATTTAACCACTGTTCCTTGTCTTTTAATTTTTTCTTTTTAAAAATAGACATTATGTTTGTTCTTTTCAAGTCTGTCCTCAGTGGGTTCAAAGATAGTGAGTAATAATTCTGAGATTGCTTTCAACCAGTTTCCTGGCCACCCTAGGAACCAGCTGATTTGAAAACATCTTCAGTTTCTCTAACTATGGCCAGTTCTTTCTCTGTTTTAACTCAACTTGTTATTAGCGTTAATTATGTTAATCTTGGATCATCACAGCTGAATTTTTATTAAATCAAAAAGGCGTGAGATTTTGTTCCAGCTTTCTTTTGTATTTATACATACCTCTCATGTTACTTATGTAGTAACTTATGTACTTATGTAGTTCCACATCTATGCAGTAGATGTGGAAGTGGATAAGACTGAGAATTCTTATAGTCTTTCTGTACTGTCTTTTTCTTAGTGTAATTATACTTTGTAATAGCCTGTAACGGAGTGGTCCTAGTGTTAATTGATCTTTATTTATGAAATTTCTTTACTTCAAAACATGATGTAATTATGCTATAATAAACAGATGCTATGTTTCCAGTTATCACACAGATGGTATGTTGAAATAATTTTTTAAAACACTGAGTAGAATAAACATTCAGCATACAAAAAATATGAGGCATAGTCCCAGCAACCATACTACTCTTTCTTATTCCTTCACACATATTGTTAAAAAAACATTTTTAAGATGGATTCACTATGTTCGTCTCAAGTCTATGAGGTGGAGATAATCTTCATTACTCAGCTTTGAAACAAGGTGTTGGAGATCCTGTAATACTGTTCTCCTGTTGGATATTTCACAACTCTGTGCTAAAATGAATCTTGAGAAATTGTGATCTGTACACTCAACTGCTGGTCTGCTTTAATGGAAAATCAAACTCTCATGAAAAAAAAAAGAAGAAAAAAAACAGCAAATGCAGCACTATCCTGGCTTTACAAGCAATTGGAAGGTCATTGGATCCACTCAAAAGTGAAGTGTTAGCATAGAGTGAATTTGTTATTAAGAGGGATTTTATCACCTAAATCCTGCTCAGGATTGAAAGAGGGACTTACTGATGTACTTATGATGAAGATTTTGCGTGTGCTTATATAAACATAAGGTGGTGTCTATTTTAGACTGTTATATTTTAAGATAAATTGATCAGACTGTCACTACTGAGATGATTAATATTCCTCTAGGTTTTGAAAATTTGCCTGGTTTGTCTGCTAAGGATTTTGTCACACTTGCTATCATACGGCGCTATATTGACTTTAAGGTGAGTGTTGTGGAAGGACATATTTCTACTGAATATATTTTTACAAGAATAGCAAATTATCTCAGGATATGAGAAAGAAATAACCCTTCATAAGCTGTAATCTATATCACAAGTCACATGTTGTTTTATAAAAAGTGTAAACTGGTATTTGGCATCAAAGGAAACTATCCCACCTCCATCATTCCAGCATTTCCTCGAAATATTTCTACGAATATTTGTGCCTACATAGTGAACAGACTAGAAAACAGTGCTAATTAACTCATGAAAAGAAAAAAGTAGTTTTAACTGTTTGCCAGCTCAAGAAATAGGACTGAGCCAGGAGTGGGGTAAGGAGGGGAGGGACAGGAGAGCTAGCCTGCCTCTTTGTGCAGTAAGGTCAGCATATATACAGGTTTTGCTACTAAAGATCACAATAAACACACATTCTGACGAAGGCTTTTCTGTGCTTTCCCTTCCTTGTATCCACACTCAGTACCCATCCCTATTGTCAAATGTAAAGTATCGCAGTGGTGTGCCACTGAAAGTAAGAATCACAGATGCATAGAATGGGCTGGGTTGAAAAGGACCACAATGATCATCTAGTTTCAACCCCACTGCTGTGTGCAGGGTCGCCAACCACCAGACCGGGCTGCCCAGAGCCACATCCAGCCTGGCTTTGAATGCCTCCAAGGATGGGGCATCCACAGCCTCTTTGGGCAACCTGTTCCAGTGTGTCATCACCCTGTGTGTGGAAAAACTTCCTCCTAAGATCTAACCTAAACCTCCCCTGTCTCAGTTTAAGACCATTCCCTCTTGTCCTACCACTATCCACCCTCATAAACAGCTGTTCCCTGTCCTGTTTATATGCTCCCTTTATAACAAGTTTTGTAGGGCTTTTGTCCTGCTTAAAAGATGCTTTAGTTAATGCCAATTTTCAGTTTAGGAACAAAGTCTGTGAGAGCTGAGATGTTCAGAAACTAGTGATACTTGACGTTTAGTTGATAATTCCAATTTCCATTTATGTCTCATGTTACAGTTCACTCTGATAACATGCAGAACTTGAGATTTTACAGAAAAAAAAGCCTTCAAGAATCAACTCTTTGCTCTTGTAATTTGGTACCTCGTATTTCTATTTCTTCTGTACTTATCAGCATTCATGGTGCTCAGTCTGTGAAATGAATTTGTGGGTGGGAAGGGCTTAGGGGCAGATTAACCTGAATGAATTTGGTATAGCATTACTGAAGTTTAACCTTGCATAACAATTCTGAGAAGGTAAGCAACAATAAAGAAAAAAGAGATAAATATCAGTGTGTTGTGTGTATTCCATCTACAGGTTGGAGAAGTTTGGAGTGAAGTGTGTGCAGAACTAAAAGAAGAATTCAGACCTATTGGTTCAGATGAGGAAATACTGAAAGTTATTTCAGAAGTGTCAGAAAATATTGGAAAAATGGTCACTGCTTACCAGACTGAAGTGCTTGAAAATCATCATCACCAAGAAATCCAAGAGGAGAAAAAAACATACACAAAGGTAAGGCAAGGAGTATTTATACAAGTGAAATCCATAGAATTTTTCTGTCAACTTGTATAATGATTTTTGTATTATAAAATATTCAGAATCCCAAATACATTGCTTTAAGATACTTCAATATTTCAGCATAAAATTTAAATTAAATGCAATTAACCCCAGTTCTCTCTGTTTGTATAATTTTTTTCACTGTTTAAAGAGTAACATGAAAACATAAAGCAGTGTTATCAGTGATGTATCAGCAATGGTATAATGAGAAATGCTAATTATGTTACTGCAAGAGTTGCACCTGTCTGTAGCAGATAACAATTTAAAGTACCTATTGTTTCTTAAAATGAAATGTAAGCCTCTGTTTTAAACTCCTCTGGCTGAATGCTCACAAAGCTTCATTGCTTCATGAAGTGGGGCTTTGTTCTTCCTAGCATCCTGAAAGCAAGCGGCTATAAACGTTGTCCCGCTTTGGTTATGAGACAAGCATTAGGCACTGTCGCTCTTCTACTGTCCCATCCTCTTCTCCCTTCTGAGAAGTAAGACCAGTTGGACCAGATGTCTCAAATCTCATGCTAATGTTTTGGAGGGAATGTCATGCATGCACTTCTGTCACCAGAAATGATGCCATCTCTGTTATTCATCATTTGAGAGTAAGCATATACAAAAACAGTCATGAAAGATCTGAGGCTCTTCCAACATCTGTGTTAGAAAACAAAGGGAAAAATTATCTTGCAGCACAAAAGGTAAGCTTTGTGGGGTTTTTTTTGTTTTTAAGGGAATGCATACCTGAAGTTTTTAAAGAACAAATATATCACTATAGCATTGTCATTCAAATTCAAGTGAGCGGGATGAGCTAAGGTGACATAAAGGGACATAGATGTACTGTCTTAACAGCAAAAGCAAAGAATTCAGGAAAGCTTATGGAAAGAGGTTTGTGTTGTATTTTGTTAATCTCCTTTATATTACAGATTCGTGCTGTCCATAAGCAGAAAGAAATGGTAAATAAATCTTGGGAAAATTTCTTAACTCGGACATCAAACTATGAAGCATTGAAGGTAAAAAAAAAAAAAAAAAAATCTGAGTGGTGGAACAAAATGTGCATTCACAGCGTAGTTATAATAATTGGGAAGTTCCTAACACTTTTCTTAATGAATGATGAGGTTATTCAAGTAGAAGACGCAGTAAATGTTATGTTCACACAAACATAGAGGAATGAACTATAAGCTGTATTGGCAGAGCAATACAATCTTTGGAACTTCCACTGTTCTGATTATAGACACAGACTGATGATCAAATGGTTTATGGTAATAGGCGTGTATATATATATTCATATATACATGTATCTATGTATATATATCTATATACAGGACAGTAATGTAACATTCTCAACTTGAATAATGGATAAGTACGCATTCTTCTCACTTACATGCATAATACCAAACTGGATGAAACAATCCACATGCTGTGAGGTAGGGTTGCCATTCAGAAAGGTCTTGACGGTCTTGAAGGACGGACGGACTCAAACTTAACGAAAATCAAGAAACTAAAATGTGATATCTTACATTTGGGATGTATAAAAGGTTTTGTGGCTCAGTATAGCCTTGGGTCTGATTAGTTGTGTAAATATGTAGTATATGGGAATCCTGGGAGATGAGACCCTAAAAAAAGGCAACAGTGTGCTCTTGTGGTGATAAAGGCTAATAGCATATCAAGCTGCAGTCGGAAAATTAAAGCCAACAAGTTTCAGGAAATGATTATTTGCTTCTGATCACTGTGAAGCCTTATCCCTTTATTCTGTTTTCAGGTTCTCAGTACAAGAGGGTCACAAACTAGAGGGAGAATACTTGAAATGAAAGGCCAATCGATTTTACCTCATTTGTTTTGTCATTTTGTTTGTGTATTTTCTTACAGGTACAAATAATACAATTCATTCTAATTAAAACAATTTTACCTTTTTTTTTTTCTATCTTTAGAAAGCAAAAAGGCTTCAGGAAAAATCAATAGAGGCTTCCAAATCTAAATCAAAGACTCAAAATGGAGCAGTCCATTCTACTGATATTAAAGGCTTGGGCACAACAGTAAGTAATGCAGGATGTAGGGTGTAAAAATTATTTAGTTACATACATATATAAAGATCAGCAATATTTTTCAGAAAGCAGCTGGAAGATGTAGATATAAATATGAATGTTCTGCAAATTGCTAGTAGAGAGAAACACATTGTTAGGTTTTATTTTTGGCTTCAAGATAAAACAATTCATTTCTTTGGAGGGAGAGAATTTAACAAGAATAGATCGTCGTGATTCTGTAGTCAATATTGCAATAATTGTAGATAAAAGCAAGGAAGCAGGTAACCATTTTGCAGATGTGTTTTAGGAAAATGAATCTATCACCAACACCAGATGAAATTCCTTGTCTGAATTCCTTAGAAGTATTGCAAATGTCAAATATTGCTGGCAATTTATTTTTGTGGAAAAATCTTATTTTCTTCTCTTTGCCAAACATCTTCAGTAGTGAGAGATGAAAATGAAGCTAAGATGGTTGGTGCAAACCAGTTAAAGTCAAGTAACCAGCCAAGTGTGCCATGCACAATCAAGTGGCATTGTCTGCTTCCTACTGAAACTTGGCTAGAAGATAGAGGTGTCACCAAAGGCTTTCTCTTCATGAATAACATTTTCAAAAGACCAGTTCTTGGTTTAAGTCTCATCTTCTTTTAAATACTAACATGGATGTCAAGCAATGCATTTATTTTGCTTTTCAGGTTGGATCTGGTCGCTTAGTAACAGTTGAAAGTACACCTTTTCAATTAGTCAAAGGACCACCAGCCGATAAAGACCTGCCTCTTAAAAAGATACCTTTTTGTGAAGAAGCCTTAAAAAAGAACAGAAAGAGTTAAAAACGTTGGACTCAGTCAAGAAAGATTAGATACTTGTAGGATAAATGCATTCTGAGCTGTGCTTTTAATGTTAACTGTGTGTGTAGTTTAGGTACAGATAAAACATTTCATATAGTTTTGATAAACGGCATAGAACATCTTGAGAGTAAAGTTATTTTTTATATTTTTAACTAATGTAAACATGGGGATGACATACTAATAAAATATCCTATATAACATAGTATAAAGGCATGCAAGGCATGCTCAGTCTAAAGATTTTGTCTGCTAGTGTCAGGTTGCCTTGACCCACTATCAGCAGTTCTACTGTTTGGGTTTCCATCTTCTGTTGAGACACACAGTACACTGCAGTTTAAGTGCCTCTTTCTTTGAGCAGGGTGATGAACCTTCACTTTAAATATACCCAGTGTTTCATTTTCCTGGATGATGTATCCACACTGGATAAAGTACCCACATGGTGTTTGTTCAAGTCCATTTTGTTTCCTGAATTATTGCCTTTAGCATTGGCACTTCAGCTAAAGGCTCACTATCAAGCCTATCTGTGCCAGTGGTTTCTCTAGGTCTGTTAGGGAGACTAGCTGAAATGTTCTGTATTTTATAGGTTTCTCACAATTCTTTAACTGGTCATTCAACTCTATTTATTTCATGGGTTTATTACCCATGTTCCCTCCAATGAGACATCTATCTGTTTCACTGTAGCCATGCTGTACTCTCTAGCTGGTTAAGCTCCATTAATTAGTTTTGCCAGGCAGGATGGTTTCTTATGTTGTGAACTGTACTCAAGCCACTTCACTCATGAGTCTTCTCATGTGATGTTTCCTGCCATGACAGTGATGGATTGTATCCCCTTCCTTACCTGTATGAATGCATAAGTAAAGAACAGTCTTGTGCAAAGTATCCTTCATAATGCGCTGAAGTTCTGCAAATAACATGTTAATAGGCAAGGAAATGACTATTATAAAGACCTTGCTGCATAGAAAATATTTTAATTAATCCATAGCTTAGACTACACAGTGATAAAATACATAGCTTAGGCTGCATGGGACATTACAATGAACATAAACCTTCCCTTCAGCTTGACATCACTCTTTGCAATTCTTACAATTAAAGTTGATTGTACATATAACAGAGTTTATAAAATATGCATGTGGACATTTTCTCCATTTCTTAATGTATAAAAATATACTGGGTTTCCATCAAAATTAACATTAAAAAAAAAAGTTGAACCACACCAACTGATTTGTCTAAACATCTACAGTAAATACTGTACTTTTGTCCTCCTTCATTTTGACACCACTTTGCTGAGGTATCTCCGTGTCCTCCCCTTTTGACCTAAAATAAGTTGGTGAAAGCAGACCTTGTAAGATTATGAGATAAGCAATTATTTTCCAAGCATTATGGCTTGGAGTGCTAGGATTAAATTATCTCCCTTTCAGTTTGGAAACCTGAAGTATTTGACTGGTTAATTAGGAAAGAAAAAATATGTCTGTTGCAGAGGAAGAAGGAAGCTAATAGATCTAGGGCTGGATAATAAGATCTAAGGCAGTCACCTGTATGATCTCAATTTGGATTTATCCCAAACCAGGATGACTGGAATCTATTGCTTTGGTGACTCAGTGACCATGAGCTCACATTACATGTCAATGGTTTCAATGAGAAGAGCAGGGTTCAAATCGCCGGAGCTTTGTCCTTCCCTTCTCACAGAGGGATGATTCCCTGAAGTTGAGACTGAAGTCTGAAGACTAGAAAACTTTTAGTATTGTAACATCCTTCATATGCACACAGTGATAAATAGAGCATGCAGCATCTATTTACACACTGTCCCACATATATACCTGTCATTATTTACACCTCATATAGAAATTCAGTGCTCTAACAACTTTTGACTTGTATATTGTGAAAGTAGCTACTGCTAAAGGGTGCAAATACATTTGACATGCAGAGACAAAAAACTGGGAATTAATATATTGCACTGTTGGAACAGCCAAGGATGAGGATGAGACAGTGGTTTGGTTTAATAGTGGTACATAACAGACCAACATCATATCCTATAGTTACCTTCTAAAGTTCTATGTGAGTATATGGAAGAATATCTGGGAGATACTAGATGTCTTCTGCCCATTCCATGGGATCTTGAGAGCACGCAGTCTACATACATATCCCAAAAGTTCTGGGCCAAATCATTGAAAAGTTCATTGTGCTTGGGCTTGGGGGATTCCTTTAGGAATAACATGAAGTCCCAGAGAGCAATGACCGGATCCACTACCTTGAGTTTCTTCATTTCCACCAGCCCCTGGGATGACGCCTCCCAGCACTGGTGGTCAATCTGATCCAGGCTTGCAGGAGCTTCTTTCAGATAGTCTAGATCAGCATAAACCAGATTCAGTATCAGTACACAGCCCAGCTGAAGATACCACCTTCTCTTCCATACGAATTCCATACTCCAAGATGATACCTGAAAAAAAGTGTACAAAGTCACAGTGATTCTGCCATTGTGTATTTCATTCTCACCTGACTTTGAAGTTGCAACAGGGGAGGTTCTGGTTGGATACTGGGAAACATTTATCCTCCAAAAGAGCAGAGAAGCACTGAAACAGGCTGCCCAGGGAGGTACTGGAGTCACCATGTAGGTGTGGCACCAAAGGATGTGGTCAGTGGGCAAGGAGGGGATGGGCTCATGGTTGGACTGAGTTATCTTAGTGGTCTGTACCAACTTTAATGATTCTATGATTCTATATCCCTAGGGATTATTTATGCTTTTGGTTCTGCATAGTACTCAGTTCTTACAGAGAAATATTCTGTTTCTAACCACGAAAGAGATCCCAGTCAGGTGCCCACCCACCTAATTCCCTTCTAAAACCTCACTTGCTCACTACACTTCAGCAGGCAGTATGACTATCCTACCACTGAGTACAAAACAGAAGAGTTTCACACAGGCAGTAACTAAAAAGCTGTAGTGGCAGTCATACTCACAACGTTCCTGTGGTGAGTTGAAGAACACCAGTGCTGAAACAATGGTAATCAGCCACCTGGAGAGAAGGCAAAACAATTCCCGACCGGGCAGCAGATGCCTGGCTGCTGTTGGGCGGCGGGGCTGAGCGCTGCGCGGGCAGAGCGGCGTCGGCGGCAGCAGTCGAGCAGCAGGCAGCGCACAGCGGGGCTGCGACCGACGCAGCTCTCCTCGCAGTCCCCTGCGCTCGGCGGTGTCACCTCGGGGAGGGCACGCGTGTGGGCAGGGCAGGGCTGCGGGGGCACAAGGCACAACCGGGAGCGGATCTTCCCCTTGATCGGTAATATGAACGCCCTCCTCATTTACAAACCCGCCGTTCCCACCTGCAGTCCCGCCTGCCCGCCAGGACAGACACATCAAAACAACAAAGCAACAAAGTGGTTCGCGGTACAATATGCACCCAATACTCCGGTTGACGTTTCGCAGAAGCTCCCTACTTTGAGGCTGATGTTACCCCATTATTACTTTTTTAGATCCCTAGGCTTCCAGAGGAGTTTTCAAAGCCATTTTATTGCACTCAGCCCCTCCAGACTCTGAACGCACACCAGCCCTGCACACTGCAGCTTGCATCCCTCAGTCCCCAGCCAGGACCTCTGAGCAGGCGTTGAAAAAACCGAAGAGAAGCCAGATTGGTTACACTATTTAAAATAACTTCTCCATCCTGCTGGCAAAACGAGGTTAAAAACACTGCTTTAGTTGACAGGAGCATCAGGGAGCCAAGGGCATTACAGTTTATAAAAGCCTTTGAGATCTTGTGATCTCAGTGCTCTCTTAGAGCAAGGCCAATCTCTGGGACAAACTCCTTTCTCTGGGCCCTGGCATTACTCACTGGATAGCTCAGGCATTGCCACTCAGCCCGCTGGGTTTTCAAGCCCAGTTCTGTATGTCTAACCCAGCACCTATTTCAGCAATTCTTCAAAGAGGAAGGTTATCACAGCTGTTTGGCCTTAACAAGCAGATGATTTGATTTTTATACAGATTTTTCTGACAAACTTTTCAGTACATATATTGCAATAGCTGCTTGTCTTTCTGTCCTAAATGCCTTCTGCTGGGGAAAAGCCACAAAAATCAACTATGAGAAGCAGCAATGCCATTGATTGTGGCTCAGCACTGCTCTGGGGTTCCTGTGCCTACTGAGGATGCTGCTTCAGCACTGAAGTCTGCCAACATTGGTGCCTCAGAGCAGCTCGGAAACATAGACAAGAAAAACAGTTCAGAGCCTGAGAACTGCATACAGAATTTCCAGCCCTTTTTGTGCTGTATAACATAGAAGGAACGTCTTCCCCCTCCCGCTAAGGGCTTGCAGGGGCTCTCAACGTGAGAAGTCTGCTGGGCTCGACACCAGTGGTAACATGGGCTTGTGATGTGCTCTGGGGTGAGTTCCTGTAGTTAATTCACTTTATGTTTGGGTCTAGATGTCCACTTATCCACAGCCCTGCAGCTTTTACTAGTGATGAGATTTCCTTGTCTGTTTACATAGGACACCAGAATCCATCCTGTATGATGTGAGGATCTGTGGATGAGAAGTGTTTCAGCATCCTATGGTGAGAGGAATGGCAAACAAAGCTACTCTGCAGAACCACATTTGGAAGCCAAAGGCAAATATGTGCATGGAAAGCTCAGGTAGAAAACCAACTTCTTTCTCACATGCAATCAGTTTATCACAACATGTGTACAAAGTGTTTGCCCCAAGTAGCATTCAGGCCACTGAAGACCAAATGCTCTGTGTCACCTGTCTGGTGCTGCCATACAGAACTTGTATTTTTATAAAGCTGTTTTGGTGCTTACAGCTAATGTCGAGGATCTGAGGCACTGGCAGGATGTAGGCAGCCTCACAGCTTTGCTCCTTCTCTTCAACAGCTCTCTTTCAGCCTGTGAATGAGGAGAGATCCCTGCTGAGATGTTGCCTGATGGAGCACAGTGCTGTACACCAGGAGAGGGCTCATGGAGCTGAACTGCACTCAAATTCCTTTCTTGAATTCAAGTGTTACCCAACAGCTCAAGAACACAATTCAAACATCATTTTTCTATGCAGTACACTACCATCTATGAAAAATAATATAAACAGAATTGTGATGCCTGAAGTACTCAGGCATGTAAAACTGGTAATGGTCTCAGTCCCAGAAGGTCCTTTTGTTATGGGAAGGCATGGCTGATGGGAACATTGACTAATATGCAGTAAAATTGGGTCTATCTCACTTTCATAACATGCTTTGGTGGAACAGAACATGACAGGAACAGCCTGTTCTTGTAACTGAAAATGTACCGACTTCTGCCATGAAAACAATGTATACAGGACTAAAGGCAGATACAAATCTGCTCTGAAATGGTAGCACTCAGAATAACCATCAATCTGCAGGAAGCTTTCCCAGCTTAGCAATATAAACAGTTTTTATGCCTCATTCCAAAGTGATGCCTACACTACAGCCAAGAAAAGAAAACATCCAGGAAACTGGAATACAGCTATCTTACATCTGAACTCCCTGTATCTTGGAAAGAAGCTAAAGCTGTGTTATTTCCTTCATGTTCTAGAGCAGCATTAATAACCAAGGAGCCTGAAACACTTAAGCAAGTTGTGCAAGGAACCTACCTTTAAGAAAGCTCAAGTTGGCTTTTGGTTTTACAGTGTTTAACTTAAGAAAAGCTTTTCCTCCTTTTCTTTCCTGTAGATCCCCTTTAGATACTGACAAGCCACTCTCCCAGGAGCCTTCTCTTCTCTAGGCCATACAGCCCCAGCTCTCTCAGCCTATCCTCATAGGAGAGGCATTCCATCCCTGGGATCATTTCTGTGGCCCTCCTCTGGACATGCTCAAACAGGTCCACATCTCTCCTGTACGGAGGACTCCACATCTGCACACAGTACTCCAGGTGAGGGCTCACAGTGCAGAGCAGAAAGACAGGATCACCTCCCTGATCTGCTAGCTGCACTTCTTTTGGCTTGTCTGGGTCTCTCTGAATGGCATTCTGTCCCTCAGATGTGTCAGCTAGACCACACAGCTTGATGTCATCTGCAAACTTGCTAAGGGTGCACTCAATCCCAATGTCAATGTCATTGATGAAAATGTTAAAGAGCACAGGGCCCAGTACTGAACCCTGAGGGGCACCATTTGGACACTGAGCTCCTGAGCACCACTCTCTGGATACAACCTCACAACCAGTTCCTCACTGAACAGTCCACCCACTAAATCCATATATTTCCATTTTGGAGAGAAGGATGTTGTGGAGGACTGTGCCAAAGACCTTGATGGAGTTCAGATAGATGACATCAGTTGCTCTTCTCTTGTTCACTGATGCAGTAATGTCATCAATGATTCACAATGAATTAATTTAGCTCTATTATAATGATGCAGTAGTGCTAAATTCGAAGAGTATTTAGCTCAAAAGAGGAAGAACATAGCATGAGAAACCAGAGTAATTAGATGTACCCATACTGGTATCCAAGGAGAGCATGGAAATTATGATTTTATTCTGAAATAACTTTGCTGATAACCTTCTTGCCACCTGCAACTCCTCCATGACTTTCTCACATACCATTCTACTGCTAATCTTCCTACCCCTTCCCCTTCTTCTCTTCCCTTTTTTCCTTTCCCTTTTCCATTCTTTCTCTATATAATGTTTCTCTATATAATGCTGACATCATATGCTTTACTGTAGCACAATCTAGCTTTTACATAAGTGAGGTCACCTGAACCTTGCCTATTGATCAGACTAGATAGACAAGTCCTTCCCATTTTAACAACCTTAAATCTGGACAAAATGTTCTGCTCTTTTCACTATTTATTTGCATAGTAACATGCAACAAAAAGGCACTTCTGAACCACAGAGCCTAGCTTCCTGCCACTGCAGAAAGCTGTGCTGTGCAATTGCCTCTCAATTTATCGAGTACCACATCAAAAGTGGGTATATTTTTGTTCCCACTAATTCCAAGGAAACACTGTTTCAGAATTTGATTGCTGTGATGATTTGAAACATTTCTCTAATCTTCTGACTAAATTTATTAATGGCTAGTTCATATCTGTTTATTCATGTATCAACACTGCCCTGCAAATTAAGTGGTTTTCATCCTTCATTTTTATTTTCCTGATATATTTTTCGAGGACACTCTAATCTCCTCTGTTTTTGTTTTGTTGAAATAAACAAGCTGAGCCAAATCTGTTTGTACAAAATGCTCCCAGTTTTTCTGGTGACCCACCTACTCTCGCTCTCTCTACTTCAATTCCACTTGAGCTCAACTACAGAACAACTACAAACTTCCACAGTACCCCAAATGAGCTTTCACCTAAGGGCTTTAAGGCCCTTCAGCAATGAACTGATACCTCTTTACTTTAAATGGAAATATATGTCCTGAGATGTTCTCTGGACTTACAGTGATTCCCAAGCATAAATCATCACCAGATTTCAATAGTGTGCTCTTATTAATCTTATCAGGACTATCAGAAAAATTATCAAATATCCAAAAACCAGCCCTTTATGACTGACATTTTCCTTTTCAATGGAATCTACGGCTATCTCACTTCACAGTTCCTCTCCTGACCCTGTATTTTCATTTCTTCCCAGGTGATATTATATCAGATGTTACAACGAAGTATTTTTTAATGAAACCACATTTGACTGGTAAATCTTTACTTCCCAAAAGTTTTGCAAGATCTCTGGTTGGGCAGATCATCTGTCTTATATTCATACATTAGCTAACACAGCCCAGGTTCAGCTCACCTGACTTCACAAAATTAACACATAGAGCAATAGGGATCTACAGGGAGCAATTCATGACATGACCTGTCCTCTGCCAATGGCTCCCTCCACCCAGCACAGAGGCAGTCTGTACTCTCTGGGCTCATTAGGATACCTCAGATAAAAGTTAAAGTTGGAGGGCAGGCTAATGTTCTCTAGAGATATTGTAACATCCTTAGAAGATGCATTGAAAAAAAACTACTAGTTTTTATGTATTACCTCTTTCAGCATTTCAGATACCATGCCTAACAAAGCACATGTATAATCAATGAAAATTATATAAAGGAATATTATATAATTTAATAATATTAAGATGTTATAATAATGAAATAAGCAAGAGAGTTAGGCACAGCAAGACAAAGAGAACAAATAGGAGGCTTACCTGTGTTGTGGGACTTGCTCAGGAAACTCCAGTGGATCTTCCAAAGAGAGATCCTTCCCCACTGGTAGTCAGCTCTTAAATGGGTCTAGGAGAGGTGGAGCCA